ATGGTAGAACAAGAAGCTGCTTCCCCTGTATAAGGAGCATCAAATATAACAAAGAGGGAGTAACTATTTCTAATGGAGGCAGTATGCGAGGTAGACACATACAGCTTGGACTACATCCAGATAGTGGAGGAAATCTGCTGTACTGGGGGCTGGACAGAGAGACAAGAGCTTGTTAAGTTGAAAAGCTGAAATCACCTTTTTAAGGTTTTAGGCCTTAACACCACCTTGTACTGGTGTAAGACCAAAAAAGGTTTATTATAAGAAAAGGCTGGCAGTCCAGAAACATACGTTACACAGGTGAAGGCGACAAAGAAAACAACCCTAGGACATAACTTTTCTTACTTCTCTGACCATGGCAAGACTTCTGATTTCTCCCTGATGGCTGATGCAGTCCACTGCTGTGGCATTGTCCAACTGGATTCTGATCGGAAGACCCTCCAATGGAAATGTACAACATTGCAGAGCAAAGCAGATTGTTGAAAACTTCGGAACATTTATTGGTAGTCAGTTCCGTCCAATCCAACTGAACCTTTTCAAGGTCTGAACCACCCACTCCACATTGTTTATCCGGGTATCTGCAATGGTTGTCAAGATATCCCATAATAAAGATACCATGGGCTAGTGCCCAGATAAACAGAGCAGCCAAATTGAACTAGCAACAGCGATCTACCAGAAATAGCTTTGCGATCGACTGGTAGATCGCGATCGACCTAGTGGGCACCCCTGTTCTACAGCTTTATTAAGATAGGACACTGTCAGATCTACCACAGGAACAGCCCACTTCTTAATAAAGGCCTTTTCAAACAGGTATTAAACCCCAAAATATTTGGGAGGGGTAAACAGTGTATCCAGATTTTTCCAGTCCATGTACAAAACGTTTGGAAATAGCATGTGCATGGCAAATGTTTTAGTGATCCTAGGCCCTTTTATGGACCCTAGACTGGTAGCAGTAGAAGTTACAAGTGGCACCTTTATCTTTAAGTTAGCAAACACCACATCAATAAGGGCAAAAATGGTCTCCCAACCTGGGAGGTATGACAGTTTCTTGTGACTCCTCAAGGACAAGTCCATCCTGTAAGAACTCTTCATTAGATAGAGCCTATGCAACCAAAAGCTTAGAGGCTGCTTAGACTGCAGGCAGATCAGATAATAATTCTGCCGGTCAAGGCATTAGGAAATGCTTAGACCCTCTGCATTCAGAGTCAGCACTTAACATTACGATCTGGCCAAGAAAATCTAAAATAACTGCATTGAAATCTTCCCAGTTAAACCAAAAGTTTAACCATTAAAAATGGTTAAACTTTTCTCAGTAGAGAAAAGATGTCCATCCACCTAGGACACTACCAAAAAATTGAGACATGCTGGAGTGGTTATACCAGGTTGATCACTGTTTTTTGTTTGTCTGTGTCCAAATCCACCTGTAGGGAGCAGTATAACCCTAAGACACTAAAAACTATTTTTACTACTTGCTGACATAATGCTTAACAGAAGCGCAATGGTCTGCACTACCGATTACACTTCATTTAATTAATTCATACATTTCATTGTAGTTGGTGACACATCAATATGTCACCAACTAAAAATCAATTTAGGTAAGTGAAACAATTTTTAAATTCAGTACAGTTAGTTTTGGGGATCACAATGAATAACCAGTACACATATCCTGATAATATGTAAGTATGCTGTGATTTTTGTCCAGACAGTTCTCATCTAACAATGTACATAATTACCGTAAGTATTAAATACATATTTGATGACCCCACTATTCTATGAATATGCATACAGAACAATATGCAGTAGAATGTCATGATTATTAGCCTACTGTATGTACAATACTAGAGAAAATGAAACGGTGATACAGATTTTAGATTAGAACATCTGCATTTATTTATTTCTGTGGTATAACACATTTAGTTGTGTTGCTTGAAGATCACAGTATAGCATTCATAAATAATGCAGTTAAATAGACTCTCTACTTGGCTAAATGTAATATACAGCATGCATGAACAATTTTATTTTCTAAGTACACATTTATTTCTTTGTGAGCATATCTGAGAGGAAGCTAAAATTCATATTGAAATAAATCTCTAGGCTTGGGTAACCTGGAGCTCTCCATGACTTCCAGCCAGTGCCAAATCAAATATATGACATCAGCATTCATGATTTAGCATTACTGACATTGAAAAAAAACTGCTTTGTGTACAATTACTGTACCTTGACACCATTATCAAACCCTGCTGTCCTTATTTTACTAAGATTTTCAGGCTTACAAATAGAATGATTTGTTTTTCATATCTGGGAGTGGGGAAAAGCAATATAATGTTATTAAACACACTGCTGACAGAGACATGTCACAGCCGGAGCGGAGGGGAAGAGAGGTGAACGGTCACTGCCACAGGACCGTGGTTAAGGTGGGTATTTCTTCTTTATTTGAACCTCTAGAGAAAAACGAGCTGTTAACCCTGGCATTGAGGCTACTATTTTTCTAAAACATTGAGTTTTTCTTTAAAGCAGAATTCCATCCAAAAATATCAAGATTAAAATGAATAGCCCAGTGGTGGCGAACCTTGGCACTCCAGCTGTGCCAAAACGACAAATCCCAACATGCATCTGCCTCTGGGAGTTATGTCTGTGGCTGTCAGAGCCTTGCAATGCCTCATGGGACTTGTAGTTCCAAAACAGCTGGAGTGCCAAGGTTCGCCACCACTGGAATAGCCCATTAAAAGATAAATTAACCAAACACACTTTTGCTGCAATATTCAACTTTAATCTGGGGTTTCCCCCCTGGGGTACTTTTTCTGCCAATAGATGTCCTCAGTCTGATAGCCAGTCTCATTCAACCTATTTTCCCTGAGCCCAGGTCATCCTGGACCTGCCCCAGCCTGTGACTGGACAGTAAGGACTGGACAAGGAGAAGCAGCACAGTCATAGGGGTTGATTTTCTAGAGGTAAATAAGCCGTTTTTTGCACTTTGCAGGGGAAGTTTCTACTTAATTTAATGAATGAAGTGAAGTTCTGCTGACTTCCATGACACAATCATGTGCAAGCAAAAATACTGTTTTTTTTTTATTTTGCCTTCTCTTACTATCAGCATGTTCTTTGTCAGCACATGACCTGACTAGCTCCTTGTAGTGCTTCTTCCTCTCACACCCCGCCTCTCCTATGCAGGGACTATAAAAGCTTAATATCAGGTACAATTCAGGTACTTGCTTACTTGCTTGCATTTAGAAAATAGATTTATCTTTAAAAAAAATATATGTATTTCTATTAGGGATGATCAGATTCCAGTTCAGATACCAGTGCCGATACTTGGCACTTTCATGAGAACTACCAGGGTCGCAGTAGTTGCAGCCGTGACAGAGCCCTGGCACTCCACCACTGTCCGGAAATCATTAGTCAGTATTTCACATGACAATAAACAAAAATGTATCAGTAATTGGTATCTGTATTACTTGGACAAGTATCGGTACTTGGTCTGGAAAAAATGGTATCGGTGCATCCCATATGTATGTTTATAAAACAAATCATACATTAAAACAGGGATGCACAAATTCCAGGAGCTCCGTAGCCAATGCTCCTTAAAAGTGGCAGCTTGCTCCTAACATTTAAGTTTTTCTCTAGTCTAGTCTTGGATTTGGAAAAGTATCTGTACTTGTACTGAGTATGGTACTTGGTATCTGAACATCTGTAATTTCTATATTGAATGTCCATAGGTTCTATGCCACTCAATCTAGAAGTTTGTAAGCCTACTTACTGAAGTTGCCCATGGAATGTACTTCCTCAATGCACTGATACAGTTTCACTCAGCGCAGTGAATTATGCACTTCCTAGTGTCGCCACTCTAAATAAACCTGCTGCCTGAACTACAATTCAACGCCTGAACTTCCAACACTCTAAAATCATAATTCCTTGCTGGAAGCAATGCATGATGAAATATGTGGTCTTAAGAAAACGGAGATTGCATCACATCAAGCAGCAGGGAAAGTGATGCTGAGCACAACAAGAATTGAGAAAGTGATGGGCAGATGGAAGGCAGGACTTACCACATAAAAGGGATTTTTTCAAGTAAGCTTTGATTGCATTATCAAAAACAACTATAATATGTATTCCTATTACAATGCTCATGTTATAACAGGACAGTACATGCTGGGACTTTAGAACTCCTTTAAGGGCATATTAATAGTTACAGAGCCGCTCAAATATATGTCTTTTATATCAGCTTAGAGTTCTGGTTTAATGAATTTTGAAAATATAGTCCACTGTTCTTTCTTTATGAGTAAAAGAATTAGTAAAGATAGAAATTAATTGGGGCCAGTGACAGATTGGATATCCATATGCTATGTAAGTGCATTAATTACCCTCTTAGAAATGAAACACGAAGATACCAAATCCCATAATGACCTGTCTCCTGTTGCAACAGCTTGGAACAGTACACCAGAACACACAGTATCAAAGATGTTGCCTGCCCTGGATATTGGCAGCTTCAGAGAAGGCTTATAAGTTTCCTACATAGGTTGATGTGGTCATAGATCAACACCTAACCCTTTGCTTGTAGAAATATATAGAAAGGATATTTCTTGATAACAGAATATAGATTAATAGCAAAAAGACTCACATACTTGAGTATTTGAAAGGGATATTATGTAATGCAAGATAGATACTAATTTCTACAGTTTTAAATAGAACACTTTTTTAAATAATAGTTTGCTCTCTTTCTCCCACTAATATCATACTGCATACATATATGTGTATTCATATACGCTGAAGTGCTGTTTGGAAGATGACGAAAGAGCTGTTTATATACTATATTATTCTTGTTCTTTAGTCTCAACAGATATTCAAGTATAACAGGATTTAGGTAAATGGATATATTATTTTGACATAAATAAATCTCTTTCATACATTAACACTAATGTAACTGCAGTATAACTTGTTTCCTGTTATTGGTTGCAAACAGTTTGAGCTCTCAATTGCTTAGTGGTATTTTTCTCTGTTCTTACCCTGTTCAGGAGTTCATTTATCTCAATGACAAGAGTATCTTGGTTCTTCTGTGCCAGCTGGAGAAGTCTTTCAGGAGCTCGTTGAGGTGACAGTAAATGCTGAAAAGTTATTAAGAAACATTTCAGTACTGAAGGCGCTTTCAACTGTGTGCACACAGAGCATCTTTATTTCCCTATAATTTGTCAATTCTACAATGTTATGACAGGCTTACTATACATTCATAATAAATGTTTATTTGCTTGCAGGAAAACGCATGCAGTGATTTCAGCATACCCCTAGACATCATGTGATTATTATTAGACAGGTACATCACAGCAGTCTAAATACACAGGGCTGCTATGATTGGCTGTCCCTGTTGTGCAGCAAGTTGATCCTACTGTGTTGTTTTGCTGAAATTATAAAAAAAAAACTATTGGCTTGCCGTCAGCTACATAAATAAATAGCAACCTTCCTCAGAACTCTTTGACAGAAACACATTTTCCTTCTTGTTTCTATTTTTATTTGGAATTGATATACAAGCAAATTATTGCATAAATTATATGGATAATAATATTAAAACATGTCCCTAAAATGAGTCACAACTGCACATCCCCATAGATTAGAGACAAACTTTATTTATGTAGTGAGGCTTTTAAGTTGTCATTAGTCATTCCACAATATTCTAATAATTTACATAACCTAAATTTTATTGTTCAATATCAGTATAAAAACATATCTAAAATATGTACTCCCATAAAGGATATTATGATATCAATAGAGTACAGGAGACCATTGCAAAACATGCACCTATATAACTACCCTTCAACCACTTGCTGACCATAGTGTTAAACCCCCTTCCTATCCAGGCCATTTTTCAGTATTCATCACTGCGGTACTTTGACTTTTATTCAGTCATGCAACACATGCAATACTGAAATTAATTTTATACAATTTTTTCAGGATAGATAGAGCTTTCTTTTGGTTTTTCATAAATTATGTTATGAAACCAATTTTTTGGTAAAATATAAAAGATGGGATCACGTTGGGTAAATAGACACCAAACATGTCAAGAAACTACTATCCAAAAATGACCATAGGTGACGCTTTAATAGCTTTTACAGCTCAGTTTAGTGTTAACAGTGATTGGTGGCCCTAAAAATATTGCTCACGCTCTGATGTTCACAATGATATGCAACATATGCGGCGCAACGGGCGCAATGATCGTTTTTGCACATAGGCACACCCGAAGCATGTTCGAGTTTGTATGTGTATGTACATGGGGGCAGGGAACTTACTTTTTTGTGTTTTTTAATTTTTTTTTATATGTGACTGTATTTTTTCCCAGATGTGGCTAATTTTAAAAAACTTTTTTACAATTAACTTTATAAGCTAAGCTAAGAAGCCCCCTATGTGATAGCAAAAATCCAAGGACTGGTCCTTTTTATGAAGACATCAGGGGTCTTTTAGACCCCTAATGTCACCTAGGGACCCCCAAAGAAGCTGATGAAGCAGAGATATGCTTCACCCAGCTTCTCTCCAGTTACAGAAGACAGAGAACTGACTTACTTCCCTGCAAAACCTAATAATAAGTGAGAGAAAATGTCTACAAAATGAGGTTAACTCCTTTCTCAAATAGTTGTTACCAGAACTTGTTCTGTTGGCATTTCCCATCACGTTTTGCCTTAGTTAAAGTAGTAACCAGGACAAATAGTGTGAATCTCCCCAGCTGGGACACAGACAACAATAAAAACCTAACAAGGGGTTTAAGTCTAAAACCAATTCAAACAGCTTAAGCTATACATACACTTTAAGCCTGGACTACCCAGGCTTTTTATTTTTCATCCTGTAGATGCTTAAAGCATAAACCTAGGCAATTCAAGCTGAAGATATTATAAAAAGTACAGAAGCAGAGGATACCTTATCTTAGCTTATATTATAGGCATAGCTTCTCTTTTTCTATAAAAGTTGAGCTTGGCCATGTTATGCTCCTACCTCCATATAAGTCAGTAAGAACAAGAGCAAGGGTCCTACTTTGCAGCATGCTGGCATGGGACAGACCTTTCTACTCTGTATTGTAGAAAGGCTTTAGGTGCTTTAGAAAGAAAACAAAAGTTTAATTGGGCTTAAGTATACAAAATGACTCCACATCTTTTGGTGTCTAATAATCTGTTTTTGGGAACTTCCTGCATCTGTGATTCAACTCTGCGCATGAAAGTCTCTTTAGAGTAAATTTTTTTTCATACCCCTGCTCATTTAGAACCATGAATACATAAAAAAATTTTACATCCAAATTAAATGAAATTAATTTAATGTTGGCAAAGTTGCAGTGTTTTCTGGATTGCAATACGTTGTTACATGTTCTTTAATTGTTGTCCTCTACTTAAAGTGACACTAAACTCAGGAGTTAAATCTTAAAAAATGCATTCAAGTACCTGAACTATTAACAAAAATGTATTTTATTTGTGTATCCCTTGATTGCAGATCCTCAAATCATCTCTGAATTTGTGCTGACACTGTCCTTCCTTCTGGAGGGAAGGTACGTTTGTTCCACATGGTCCTTGTGATGGACTACATTCTGACATTTAGTTTACTAATTTGTATGGAGATTAAAATCCATCACGGGAGTGAACTTGGAATGGTGGCTACTTTACAAAACACAGGGACCATGGGGAACAAAAGTAGCCACCCTCCAAAAGGAAGAACAGTGTCTGCACCAATTCAGAGATGATTTGAGGATCTACAGCTGAGTGATACACAAATAAGGTACAGTTTTGTTGATAGTTAGGGTACTTGAATGCACTTTCAAGATTCAACTCCTGAGTTTAATACCACTTAACAAAATAAAATGTACATCATATTTAAAGTAGTCCTCAAAAAGTTAGATTTGCTATCCAATAGTGACCTGTGGTGCAAACATCTCCCTGCTGCTACTTCATTCATTCTGTGGATTTATGCTTTCTGCACCTCTCCTGCTTCTTCTTGATTATTACCACACCATTCATCAGATCACCATAGATTGGCACAGAGTAAATCTGTAATGTGTAGAGGCCTGCACCTCTACCAAGATAGCTGTGTCCATGCAGAGACACAGTGCAGAAAAATGTATTGTAAGCCAGTAATTGAGAAAGATCAGCTGCAGGAAGACCACAGCTAATACTAGTGCCTAGTCGTCTGTTTAATAATTCCATTATCAAGAATGAGTTGCTAAGAAGATTTCCTTGAACAAGCTTTTCATTTAAGAATGCTGTCTAAAGTCATTCAGTAGGTGTTTCTAAGATTTGTCAAGTATAAACACATAAATAGTCTCATCTACATTTTTAAAGGAAATATGCACATTTAATTTACTCTTCTGTGATAAATAGGTTTTGGCACTCATTTATCTCCTTAGTGTAATTTTTGCATTTAAAATCCACTTAGAGAGGAAGGGACCTGTCCCAGTGTGATAAATGGTTTTTATCTATGGGACAAGCCCTTGATGCCAGATTGTAACCCTGACTGCACACACAGCTTCTTGTCATTAATACCTACACTTGGCTCACTAACCATGCTTTGCGGTATCGTACAGGTTACTGCTGTCGGCAAGATATTATGACAAAAAAACCTAGTAATTTGATCAAAATCAGTAAGTGGAACTATGAATTGATATGAGTACAGAATTAAGTGATTGTTGGAAAAGCAAAACACATTATTACACATTAAGTTAGAATGTGGCATTTATTCCATATATACAATCATTCTTATAGTGTTGGTAAAGAAAAAGGGACAACAATGATCCACCCTTATTTGGATTGATGATATGTCAACCTCAACATTTGATAATTTATCTGAATGTGTTTGCATGCCAATAGTTCTGTGAGGTACTTAGCCTCAGCACTTTTTAATCAGACAGCAAAATTCACTATACCCTAGGGGCATCATATTCAGGTTCCATAGCTGTGTTGACACAAAGTTAATACCAAATTTATTGGGTTTAGTCCTGTTTACATAAGTGTGTGCTAGTGAACTTTAAATGTCAGGGTTGTTTTTAGTCCTAGTCTGGCACTGCCTGAAATAATTAGATAACTCTGTATTATATTATATGATGAATTGTGCTATGCTATGTCAGTGCTTTAAACATCGTTATCTATCTATGATTGCCTGTCTGTGGGAATTAAAGCATAACTATACTTAAAGTGGCACTAAGCCCAGAAGTTGAATCTTAAAAATGTATTTAAGCGCCTTAACTATTCACAAAAATGTATCCTAATAGTGTATCTCTCAGCTCTAGATTCTCAAATAATTTCTGAATTCATGCTGCTACTGTCCTTCCTTCTGGAGGGTGGCTGCTTTTGTTCCTCATGGTCCCTGTGTGTGTGTGTGTTGTAAAGTAGGCACTGCTCCAAGCTTGCTCCCTTTAGTGGACTACAATCTCAATACAAATATGTAAACTAAACATGAAATTGTAGTTCATCACAGGAGTGAGCTTTGCAGTGGTGGCTACTTCTAAAGCTGGGATCTAAAGCTAAGTGATACACAAATAAGGTACATTTTTATTAATAGAGTATTTGGATGCATTTTTAAGATTTAACTCCTGGGTTTACTGTCACTTTAAGAACAAATATTAAATATATTGCAGCTTAGCAGTCCTTTGATGTGGTAGCTCTATTCATTTTTATTTTTTCTCTTATTTTATGTCTTCTATGAACTACTATATTCCCCATCTCCCATGTAGTGGAAATAAACATAAGCAGACATATTTAAAGGCCAGCCTTGGTAACAACCACGACTCCCTCAATGGATACAACTGTAGTGTGCATAGTCATCCAGGGAAAGGAAGTGTGTTTTTTGCATGATTTCCAAATGAAAATACAGGAAAGAAAGCCCCAACAAGAAACTTAAAGGAGAAATGCGGGGAGAGGGAAACATACTCTCACCTCACCTTAGAGCTAGAGTGGGACACTACAGCTGCCCAAGCCAGCTCCATACCAAGAACTGAGCAATCATATAACCACTACAGTAATTGCTCAGTTCATGGTCTCTTCTCCCTGCAGAGAGCATTGACTACCAGTTATTGCTCCACACAGGGATTTTCCCCTCTCAACTTCCCCAGCTCTCACTGGAGGGGCAAATAGAGGAGGGGTGGTCATGGCTAGCTCTAGAGAGGCAGAGCCAGCTGTCACTTAGAAAGCTGGGTGGATCCCGACAATATTATCAGGATCCATCCTAGCTGCAGTGCGGCTCTGTGCTGTCAGCAGATAGCGCGTATTAGTCTGCTATCTGCTGACTTAAGGTCACAGGAGTACACTAATAGATATAAAAGAGGCAAAAAAAAGGGTTGACTTTACTTCTCTTTTAAGTTCACAGTACTCACCTGCATCTCTATTGGGCGGGTGAAGCACTGTGAAATACCTGGTACTTTGACCTGAATGTGAGAACAGGGAAAGTTTTCTTAGCCCTGTGCAAGTGCCAACCTTAGAGCTCCCACAGGGCTTCTTCTCCTTAATCCAATGGACAAATGGAGTGGTAGTGGTGGTGATGGGGAAGCAAAGGAATGGTAAGGATAAGCAATGGAGCAGGACATTATTAATGTGGACATGTGTTTTCCTACATGGAGAAGACACGGGTAAATACATGGCAATGGGAGACAGATATTCTTAAAATAACAATTTTATAACAACAAATTGTATAAAGGGTAGTGGCAAGTGGACATAACACATACAAATATGACAACCTCCCCTTATTCTTTTGTACTCAGCATCTTTTTGTGAAGCTGGATTCATTTTAAAGCCAAATTCAAAATGAATTTTTTTATTGTGTTGCATATTATTAAACATTAAATATAATGTCTAAAGTATATCTTTCAGTACAACATAATTTGTAGCTTCTGCTGACCACTGTTGGCCTAATATATATAGTTTTATGAGCTTAATAGTTCTAGGAATGCTAATTACTGAATATAATATACTGCTATTAGACATTGCAAAATGGATTTGGGTCCAGAAAACATGGTAAATCAAAATATTTGTTTCACAATAGAATAAAAAGGCTTTAAGTGGAACACAATCAGTGTATGAATGATTTATGCTTTACAGTTGCCCTGAAGTTTCTCGAGCATGGAGTCATAAATTATTATGAATATATAGGCCAACTTTTTTTTATTTTGGATAAAGTATGGAGACAAAAAGAGATGAGAAATACAAAATATTAGAGTCTTCACGAGAACAGGAAGTAAAGGGAAGCCTTTTAATGGGGGAGCACCTGTTCTGGTGACCACTGCCTCAAAAGGATTTTCTCTCACTTTCTGTTTCATCTTCAGAGCAGGAAGTGAAAAATCCCCCCATAGATTCACAGACATAAAATAATAACCTGACAGGGGTTTAAACCCTTCCCTAATCTATTCAGATCTAAAAAAATAAAGTGTCGGTTTTACATACACTTTAAAGAATTATGAAGGATAAAGTTATTGGTTTATCAGAAAGGTAGAACTTAACAAAGGGAAATCACCTAGAACAACAAATCAAGAGGCATCTATTAAAGTGTATGTAAACTTTAACAATGTATTTCGGTTATTTGCTCCCTTTTCACCTTATAAATCTACCATTGGTAGCCTTTTGTTATTTCTGTAAAGAAAAAAATTAACATCTAAAGATTGTTCAGCTGCAATATAGTACTTTTGTTTTTAGTTTTAGATACAGTATAACTTAACTTACATAGTATTTTGCACATTATCATTGGTCCTTTTCCCATTACCTTATCAAATAATCCTCTTGTATACATTCCAAGATCATTTTATATATTTGACAATTAACAGAGATCACACTATTTTTTCCAGCCAGCTTCAGTTATCTGAAATGTTTGAACAAGGAACTTGCATGTTTACCTTTAATTCCTGAGTTTCATTCTCAAAGCCAAACAGCATTTTGTAAGGTGGAGGCAGCGGGCCAGAAAGATTGACGCTCATGACCATCTGGTTTAGCTGATCCAAGTCATCAAGAAGGAGGCCTGTACATTCATCATCGCAAACTGTGAAGAGGACAGCATAGAATATTTATACCTAATAAACATCAGAGGCAGATGTTCAATATTTCTGCACTGTGGCATTTAGGAGTGCATAGTACAGGTTGTGTATATTTGTGATGCTAATCCTATAATTAGCCCCACTATGTGGGAAGAGAGAAACAGAGGTGTATTTGAGAAAATGTGAAATACAGAAATTAGTTGAAATAACTGGAAATTAAATTTGTCATATTTTCGATTTAAAAGTAATAACAATACTGAGCCATCATATTGATTCTCACAAGCAAAGGTTGCACTGGGAAAAAGCCCAAAAAGCATTTAAATTTACAATGTCACTCTCTGATTTGCATAAATGACAGATAAAACTTGTAGAATGCTTATAAACTTGCTGCTCCTGTATTAACAGCAGCTATTTGTCAAAATTTTTTTATTTAATACAGGAAAGGTAGTTGAAATAATGAATGTTTTGCTTTGATTATTTTAAAATATATAGGTGTGGTACATTCTTTAATTACAAACGGATAAAACATTGTATATTATATAATGCACCACATTCATTGATGTAATAGATGTTATTCTATTTTTTCTAATAAAAACTTCAACAATACATTGGGGGGAATTTATTGACGCAATTGCAACAGTTTTAGCCTCTTAGATCATTTTTTTATGTGCAAATCTGTTTAGCCGCTCTTTTTAACATGTGCGTCTGTTTCGACCAGAGCTTGCACTTTTTTTCCAATTGCACGTGGTTTACGAAAGTTCACAACTGTTTACATCTGCACTTGCCCTGTGCCTGTCTAAAACTGGAGCATCACCTAACAAAGCAATCACTGCTTAAGAAGTCCCCATGACCACTTCTTCAAGAAACAACAGTTAACCAGTTCCGGGCTGCAATACATATATATACGGCGGCCCGCAGAAGTGGTTAAAACAGGAACACGGCTGCTGCTGCAGTAGTGTTCTTGGTGTTATTTTTAACAGCTAGCGATGGCCGTTCATGTGCAAGTGATCCAGCATCTATACAGCCGCTGGATTGTTTGTACTGAGCGGCGCTGTACCCTTCCCCCTGCCGGGGCTGCCGTCGGCTTCCCCAGGCTCCACTGTCCCTGTGCAGAGCATGTTCGACTGACCAAAGGCAGACGTACAGAGCTGATGTATGGCTGATTTCAGCCAATGTACAGCTGAAATCAGCCATACTGAGCCGGAGTGAATACCCCAACGTCATTCGGCTCTGTTCACTTCTTTACTCTTCCTTGTGGTTGTGTAAAGTGATTGAACACTGATATACCCAACAGGCAGTTTAGCCTGCCTGAATACCAAGGACAGACATTTTGCCATTTGCAGTATATTAACATTGTCAAATAATGACTTGCAGCTCTTTAGAAGAGCTGGAAACAATGTATGGGTGTATGTGATTATATAATACTATTTTGCCATTATAATAAACTAGGTGTCACGTATTAACATGTATAAAGGCTGATCTATCTATATAGTATTGATTCATTGTAACAAGATATATAACGAATTAAGCCATATAAACAGAGTTTAGTTAGGTAATAACACTAATTGACCAAACAAAAAAATTATCAGTCACAACTAGATCCTTGCCTGTTGATGCTATAAGTGAACAACAAGCATGCAATTCACAGCAAAAAATGTCAAATATATTATATAAAAATATATATACTGTATAATTAGGAGTTTACTTAAATATTTTTAGCATGTCATTATTACCTTTATTAAATAATAACTGTAAAACCATGCCATGTAACCAGTGCACTATTATCATGGTCAGTAGCATATAAAACACATGCATGAACACACAGCAACCAACACAGTTATGTGTTTCTACCTTACCATAAACTGTAGAATGATCAACATAGGAATTGGGTCTTGGGAAGAGTTATCTGGCAACTATCATTTACTAGAGAACAGCATTTTAAAATGTGTGATTCAATTACCAACCAATGTACACCGTCAGTAGATTTAAAGATAAAATTAGACAGTGGGGGTTTATACATTTCATTATAGACAATTCAAATTTAAATAGACATTTGAGTGAATTTAGCAAGTGCAATCCTGAAGGCTGAGAGATAGGGAGTCAGAAAATTACAAATAAAAGATATTAATGAGTCTATCTCATATATTAGTCTCACCTTTTAAGTTGCATTAGTGAAATAAGTGAACTTTTGCACGATATTCGAATTATTCGCATTTCACCTGTGTGTATATATATAGATAGTACTATGCAAAGGTTTTAGGCTGTAAAATGCATAAACAGAATAAAGCAAATCAAAATTTTGTGTGTTTCCCCTTTGCCTATAGAACAGCATTTTTTATGTTTTATTTAGGAACTAGAACATATAACTGATAAAAGTCCATCTTGTATAAAAGTGAAAATAGAGACAGTGTCCCATGTTAAGCACTTCCTCCTCTAGTCCTGCTTTTATCAGTAGGATTTAGCAAAGAGTAGAGACTGGTCACTTAGCAAAGTGAATGTTCATTTTGCAAAGTAAATATTAACTGAGCTCAAAGCGGATCTTATGTGATCTTTACCCACTTTACCCACTTTGGCTAAAAATCACATAAGCATGCAGCTCTGCATGCTTATATGAAATCATCTTACATTGATTAGGTAAACAAACATATTTTCATTTTACTTACAATTTCTTGCTTTCTACTTCCTAGCTCTCTTTGGCAAAAGTGATGTAATGTGCCCAAGTGTTGCATCCTGGGAAGGTTACATCAGCAGAGCATTACTTGGAAATCCTATCTAGAATCTCATAAGATTTCAGGGAAAGGCATTTTCCTCCCTTGAGATGATGTGCATGGTCACATGTCCTAATCACATGTGCCAGAGTTCCAGGAAGGAAAGGGAGATGTATTAATCTGCCCTTAGTAAAAATGGCCACTGTGAGAAGAATGGAGAGGAAAAGAAAAACAAGGTATGCAAAGAATTAAAGGTCTGTAACAATGTGGAAATACACTGAGTGGCCAGATTATTATGACCACCCCATCAGTATTTTGTTGGGCCACAAGATGACTTCACAAGATGACTTCATTGAGCCACCTCATGACTCCACGAGATGTTGAAAGGTGATGTGAGGAATCTGACACTGCACTGTTGCCCTTCTGTTGTCTTGTACCAGTCTTGCCACTCTCCATTCTGCCCTAACATTGACTAGTCGCTGACGGCCACAATTCGCACGTTCAGACCCAGATTTTTGGCTAACAGTCCAGTCTTTAAACACTTTAACAACAGCTGCTCTTGAACATTTAGCGAATTCTGCTGTTTTGCTGATACTCGCTCCATGGCTTGAGCGCAACAATCATCCCACATTCAAAGGCTGTTAAATCGTGTTGTTTACCCATATCTTCAGAAAAAAATCACTGCTACTGAAGTGGTAAACAACCGGTTTCCCTATTTATAATGGCCTGGCCCTCTAGCAACTTCAGCACAAAATTGTAGCTAATTTGCCTACAAGAGTCAGGTGGTCATAATAATCTGGCCACTCAGTGTATGTGTTTGTCGATTGGCATTACGAAACATTTCTAAAGTTGACTGTGTTGTTATTTTGAAGACATGGGTAAAGTTCTTCTTTAATAAAGTGAAGATTGGTTCGCTTTGAATACCAACAGTTGTGGGTTTGCACATGTTGACACAAGCATGATAATAAACATCTTAAAACACACTGTTGTCATAATAAACATCAAAAACATAAGTCATGTTAGTATACGTACATGCACACAGCGGGCCTTCTCGCACATGCCGGTGAGTGCAGCCAGCGCACTTCAGACCTGTAGCTTCAGGTTTACACGTGCATTGACCAGTGCTTGGGTGACAGATCATAGATAATGATCCATATGGGTTACACTCACATTCTTGACAAGAACCTCCTGGAATACTTGGGTTGCCAGTAAAACCAGATGCACACCTGAAAATATACTGATGTTACTACATGATATCTGTATGTTTGAAAAGGTTTATCAGTAATTACTTCAACCCTATAAGCTTTGCATTATCCGTATCTTATGTTCCTGTTATATATTTTATTTTTAAAGACAGCAGTAACATTTACAAGTATATTACCATAAGGAAAACACAATAATAATAACATCCTCATCTTTTTTATGGCAGTCTCATTAAATTCAAATGGAAATTTTAAGGGACCTCCGAGCCCCCCACCAAACTAATTTCTATCCCATGTCATTTCTCATGCTGTTCTTCCTTTAGATGCCTACTGTGGAACTGTTGTGCTGTGTACCTTTATGCTTTTTAAACACCATAAAATAAGATTTATCTTCTCAATTCCACTTCACACTGCTCTGGTGTTACAACCCAATGGAGTCAATGCTCTAATTCTAGTAGCATGGGAATGCTTACCTACACTTTAATCTCACCAATCTTTCCATTGCGCCCCCTCATGTCCTAATATGAGCACAAAATAATGCAAAACGTCATTCACATTCACTTTATACCACATAACACCTTCCAAATATCTTTATCACTTATTCCCAGCAACCTCTGGCACACAAAACAAACCTGACATCAAACTTGATCTAGGTCTTTAGAAAGTTTTGCTTGCTTGAAGATTTCCTCACTAAAAATGCCTTAATAACTAGACATGTGTTCCGGCAAAAAAATTGGGAGGGTGCTTTTCCAGGGGGGGAACTGATGGGGTCTTCCCTACAACCCTGGCCTGGTGGTTTAAGGTACTGTGGGCAGGGGGGCTCATCTGCATCTAGGTACCCCTTTCATAAAGGGGGCACCCAGATGCTGCCCCCCTTTGTGAATGAGTAAGGGGTAGTTGTACCCCAACTCATTTACTAAAGAGTTAAATAAATACACAACATCTTAGAAAAACATTATTTAACTGAACAAAAAACACAATACATGTTTTTGACAATTCTTTTATTAAAAAAAGAAAACAAAATGGCCCACAAAGTCATTCCAGCGGCGGCCAACAAATGAAAAACGAAAACCCTCCCCGATGCAATGTTTACATCAAGCAGAACTTTCTCTCTCATGTCCGCTCCTCTGCCAACTGTCAGAAGGCAGTGAGATCTGCTATTGGCTATTTTTTATTGCAATAGCCAATAACAAGCTGGCTATTGTTCCACCACCTGCCTGATTTCCATCAGCAAAGGAGCAGACCTGAGAGAGAAAGTTCTCATTCAGGTCTGCTCCTCTGCTGATTGACAGAAGGCAGTGTGCGGAGCAAAAGCCAGATGGCTATTGGCTATTGCAATTTGAAATAGCCAATAGCAGATTGGCTATTACTCCTCCAGAGGAGCAGACCTGAGAGAGAAAGTTCTCTTTCAGGTCCGCTCCTCTGTGACTGACACCAGGCAGTGGGTGGGTGCATTAGCTAGCCTGTTATTGGCTATTTCAATTTTAAATAGCCCATAGTAGGCTTTGTTTATTTCTACCTACTGCCTGATGTAAACGTTCTATTGGGAAGTTTTTTTTAATTTGTCTGACGCTGAAATGACTTTGTGGGACATTTTTTTTTTTAAATAAAGGAATTGTCAAAAACTTGTGTGGTGTTTATTGGCCTCAGTCATGAAGGGGTTAAAGGATTTTTTTCTAAGGTGTGGTGTGTTTATTTACATTTTATTTAACTCTTTAGTGAATAAATAGCTATACAATTATTCAATTTACAAAGGGGGCATCATCTGGGTGCCCATTTTATGAAAGGGAGTACCCAGATGCAGATGTGCCCCTGCCCACAGACCCCCTCAACCACCAGGCAAGGGTTGTGGGGAAGAGGCCTTTTTTCCCATCGGCTTGGGGACAAGGTGCTTTTCCAGGGTCCCCCCTGAAAAATCAACCTCCCAATGCTGAGGGCATGTAGCCTGGTATGGTGGGGGGAGGGGGGATGCTCACTCATTCCCCCCTTTCCTGCCCTGCCAGGCTGCTGCCCGGATTAAGGGTCTCGTATGGGATTTTATAGGGGACCCTATTATTTGGCGTCAGGTTTTTTTTTCTTTTTTTACGTGGGGGTCTCTCCGCTGTTTCTTTGTATTATTATTATTATTTCTGTGAGCAGTTAAACACTTTTGTGTATTCTGTGACAGCTGTCAGATTCTTTACATCCAGGGCTTGTTCACACCAAGCACGGAGCAGATCCAGAGCAGAGCTGGTGCAGACTGGATCAAAACTGCGTCCAATGTATTCCAATGGTATTTTTTGCTCCAGTTCACATCGCAGCATGCAGTTGCAGAGCAGATCCAGAGCAGGTGAAAAAACTGCAGCAGGCCTTATTTTACCTGCTCTGGATCTGCTCTGGAACGCATCAAAAATGCATCAAAAAAATGCATCAAAAACGCGTCTAAAAAACGAATGTGCGTGTGCAGAAACCTGACCGGATCTGCTCTGCATTTGTTGTGTACAAGGCCTCAGGATCGAAGTCTCCGGAAAGAATTACAGAATTACACCGATCTCTCAGCTTCTTTCTTTATTTACATTTTTTAATAATATTCTGTTATTTTGATTTTGATTTCATTCAGGATACAAGTCCAGAATGTCAACAAAGTGAGAAGCCAGAGAGCGGTAAATGACAGCTCTCCCAATTGTTGTGTTTCGTTCCAAATGAAATTCATATGTATACGAATTGTAACCTCCTCTATGACATGGAAAGCAAATACTAATCGGTTAAAAACTCCTGTGCATCTGAAATCAGTATGTTCTTTAGCAGCAGTGCTATAACTCTAAAAATATAATTCTACTGCCTGTAGGTCACCAAATCATCCTTCACAGGCAACCTTTAAAGGCCTGTGTTGACAGGCTTTTTTTTGCTTCAAATAGGTTTTGTATTTCTATACAAAATTAAAGTAGTACTTAAGGCTATTCATTTTTTACCTTAATGCATTCTCTACATTAAGGTAAAAAAAATCCCCACTATCTTTCCATTCCCCCCACCCCCAAACACTTACCTATACTCTACGTTTACAGCCACCAGCTCCCGGACGATCTGCAATGTTTTCCTGAAGTTCTAGGTTCAGAAGAGGTATCCCGAGGCTACTGAGGGCAGACCAGTGATAGGCTGCTGCACCTGCCTGTCAAGATACTGTGAGGAGGCAGGAACAGGGGCATAGTTTGCCGAGTGCTGTGTGTGTCAATGGATGCACGCAGCATGGCCGAGACCACGCATGGGTGTCTATTTTGGAACTTGCTAGACAAAGGAGACACCCATAAAAAGGAGGGGAGGAGGCTGTAGTAGAGCCAGTGAAAAAATAAATAAAATGGGCAGCATTTACAAGTGGATCTCTTCTGGAGAATTAAAAAAAAACACAAATATAATTTTAATGCAAAACAAGCAGATCAAATGCAGGTAAGAAGGAGGTCAATTACAGATCAAATGTACAATACCTGTCAATAAAATATGAATGATCTCAGAAGCATTTTAAACTGATATCAGTCTGATGGCATCAACAAAAGCCCAAACTTGTTGAAAGAGGCCCTAAATCATACTTCAAAAATATCATTCATACCTACCTTTTCCTCATTAATGATACACCAAAACATAAATAATGTTTTTATAGTTTACTGACTTGACTACTCTAACATCTTATGATCTAATATACTGTACAACAAACTAAGTTAGTTATTCTTCAAAACATCTTTGCTAACATTTATTTCTACACATTCCCTTTGTTCCCCCAAGAGAAGTACAATTTGTTGTTTTTTTTTTGTAGCATACATAGACTTGTACATTTACAGAACTAATGGCTATAAATGTATGTGCTACTCAGATATCTATAGATGTCTTATCCATCCTAAACTATTACTGTTTTAAGCCTATTGGCAGCTATACAGCAATCTAGAAAAAAAAGTATTAGTATTTTGCTTATAATTTTTCTAATTCTTGGTTTACTGAATGGCTCCATAATCTAGTTTGGTCGAATTAAAATACATTTAAAAGCCAAAATGTGTTTTTTGTTTAGTTGCAGATAGTGTGGGGAAGGGATAAAACACATTGAATTTTTTTTGCCACCTATACCCCATTTAGGAGAATTATTTTTACTCCTTGCTCTGTAAACACAACAAAGAGGAAATCTCCCCAGAGTAAGGGAACCCCTCTTAGACAATTTTAAGTGCAACAAGGGTTCCAATTGGAATATTTTTTCTTAATTTCTGTTCTGCTGACAACACACAATTGTAGTTTTTACCTTACTTTTAGTCCCAGTGTAATGGTTACTAGGATAAATAAAGTGGTGAGTCTCCTCAGTGAGGACACTGAAAGCAATAAAAACATAATAGGGTTTGCAAACCCTCCTCTTCTCTATGTAAAACAAAACAAACATATTTCAGCTTTAGTTATACTTTAAAAACCACTTTACTGGGCAGAACAAAAGGCACAATGCCCTACGTTATTTGCCACTTCCTGCATGTATGGCTTATTATATTCCATACAAAAAGCAAGTAGTATTCTCTGCCTGACCAGTAGTCATACCAGACCAGATTAGAAGGAGATTCACAGAGATGTGCAGCATCTGCAACATTACCATCCTTGTTTACGCTGACATATTATTATGCAAAAGCATAGCAGTTATAAGACCTGGGAACTCCTAATAATGTTCCAGCACAAGACAGCAGACTTGGTGTATTTTGCTGTAAAGGAGTACATAATTCTTTTTTATGGTTTACATTTCAAAGCTTACAGCAATAATATGTTCTTATATGAGATGATACTAATATCCAAATCTGTTTTACCTTCAGTGACAGTAATGATTCCACAAAACCGTTATTATTATTATTCTGCATATATGAGTGAGCATAATATTACATCCAAATGTGAGATTATATGTAATTTGTGTAAATTGTACATTACAGTAAAATAGATAGTGACTTTTAGATTATTAAAATGTCTATATTGTCTTTTCAAAAATTTCCATTGCATTGGAAATGAATACATTGAGACCAATTTGAATGATACTTAATAAATCTGCAACAGATTCGGTGTGATGCATCTTTTTACTTTTGAATAAGTCACATATTGTCAGATGCCTAGGCACAAAGTATACTTGACAGTCAAACCCTTAACACTGTGCATGTCCGCTACTTAGCATCTCCACTTATCTTTATTGTTCTTAAATATTTCCCGTTTTACCTTTCACAGTACTGGCCCTCATATCCCAGAAGACAAGCTGAACATCTGTAATCATTAGTTCCCAGCATGATGCATGTAGGGCTGAAACTAGAAAACAACGTAATATGTTACTAAATGAGATATATTAGAAACATTATTAGTTGTAAGAAAGCTCAGGAAATAATGGTGACATGGCAACATCAATCTAATGACTGCAAATCTGAGTTGCGAATACATTTACTAAAGAAAGAGTAACAAAAAAACAAAACAAGCAAAACAACAAAGTCCACAACCATAATTGTGTTAACAATCTAAGTACAACAATGACATTCAGAGATTTGCATACATATTTGAGAAATAATGTGTATGATACAAAATACAAAATTAAAACTCAACCTTGTAATTACAGGTGATACCTGCCTAATAAAATACATATATTTTAGATATGCATACCTATACCACACCTTTTATATGTTAAATAATAATTAGGTGGGGAGGGATAGAAAAAATGCAGGGCATTTCATTTTTTTAATATTTAAAATAAAACCAAATCATGATCATACACTCTGATAAAATGGAAAAGGTAGAATTTATAAGTCAGAAGTGAAAATATATCTATAATGCAGCTTATAAAACCTACTTGTTGATGCATAAAAGGAATCAGGATCAGTCATTCCCAAGCACAAGAGCAAAGCCCATTGACAACTCTGTCTATGCCACTGCACATGTGTCAGAGATCTACAGTGTTACATGTTTGAAGCAAATGGACATATCAAGGCCCATTCCGTTTCAGCCATATGTCATTGAAAGGTCTTTTCTAGGTCTAAATCCTGTGCTTCTGTATCACATGACCTGCTTTTGGGCAGCTCTGACCCTACATGGGTATGGTTGGCCTGCCTTGCATTCTGGATATTGATGCTAGTTGTCTCACCCACTGCCTAGTTAGTGTAATGTAAATCTTATTCTGCCTTATGTAACATTGGTCTGCACCTGATACTAAAACCTGCTTAAAGTGTATTTTCACTTTTACAGCCAAATTGGGATAACATCTAATTTATATTTGTTTACATTTCCTCATTCTCGTAGCATACTTAAAAAAAATTGCAGCCTACATTCTTAGTGCTTTATACTTACTTAGGAATCCTACCTAGCACCCCTCACCATGTAATGTTAAGGAGGGTGCTGTTTGTCTGTATTATTCTAGAAGAAGTTGTAAATCAGATTTGACCCCTTATGGATGATTGTCACAAAATCGCATCAAACCCTTGCCGGCCTGAATGCAGCTGAGGCGGCGTGTATATTTTGCCAATGCCAGTTTATGCGTATTCAATACGTACCAAAGATTGTTTTGGGAGCACTGATCACGCAGTAGTATAGTTAGCTACATCTGCTTGAAGTATGCGAAACGTCAGCGCAGTCATGCACATGGATGCTGACTGCTAATTTTGAGAAATTGTCTAAATTTGAGGTAAGTTTTGTATGATAAAAATACATAACAGCTTATTGTTTGTTGCTACTGCTTATATATTCAGGTAAACTACATGTGGCAGAAAATGTCAAAGTTATGTGCAGAACTCGCTTTGTCACTTTTTCGCGACATTAGGAAGTTATGGCTGCATATGAACAATTAGATTTTTAGGTGTAATCTGCTTGATTACGTAAAAAGTCGTTATGTGAAAGGTTGATATTTCTGCATTTTTATCATTAACTGCCATGATTATAGCAGTTTGTCATTCATTTCAAGAATAAATGTCAAAATAACTTTTGGGTGGGGTTGATGCTCTTGAAGCACTTATAGCATACTACCGCATTCACATAAGATCGAAAAAATATTATCATAAGTTTTGTCTCTCATTTTGTCATCATGGTAATAGTAAACAGTCGGTTATTGTATCAACATGATTGTAATTCAATGGAAGTTCCGAGAAAGAAGCAGGAGGATTTCCTTGCTCTTAGAACATCAATTGCACAGGCACTCTGCATGCAAGGCAAGGATATGTCAAAGAAGAAGAGGGGGCGCCCTTCATCTGGTGTTGAACGGGATTTTAAAAAGAAGAAACATCGAGGTCCAGCTAAAGCTATTCCACCAGTGTAAGTCTGTTCAGATACTGTGGGTCACTGGCCAGTGGCTGATGCAATATTTTAAGCTCAATAATATTGAAATGCACATTGAGTGCTAAGAGCTCACTACTAAATCAAGAATTAGAAAGCTTCCTTTTGTCCTACATGTTGTCATATTTCCTTGTGGATGCATTTATCATTCATTTGTATTGCAAATTATGGCCTTCTTCAAGTGCATTTATGACATCTGCTATGTAGATATCTATGTATTTGTTTTCAAATCACTCACAATGGACTTGAAAAATACAATGCACATAAAAAATAGAATTAATAGTCTTCTATTAAATTTAGCCTTGTGTGTTTGCATCTACTGTAAATATTTAAGAACCAAGGTCTCACTGATTACCTATTTATCTGTGTATTGATTAGAAATATGTGTATACAAAAACAAATGCTGACCTGTGGAAACAACACTTTACAAGAAAACACATGGACAACAAATTCAATTAAATTTAAGCTCTGTATTATAATAATATATTTAAATACAGTAAGTGTGTTGTGGAATTCTCCTAATAACTCATGCCCAGATGGTATTACTGTACATGCCTGCCATGACTGAAAGAGATTATTACTTTGTAAAATATATCTATTGCTGGTGTTGTGAAACTGCAATTTAAAAAAAAGTAGAGCCATTTGTGGCTCAAAAAAACTCGCAAACATTGGTGATGTGTTGTATTACTGAATGCGTACCTACCAATAACTAATTAAAACTTTGTGGAAATTTCAAATAGTCCAATATAATGTTTTATGTCAATTGAATTTTAGATTTTTAAATAATGTTTATACATTTAAAAAATGTTTTATATATTTGTATCCTTTTTATGCTCTGTGAATCCTTTAGTAGGATTCCACACTGAATTACACCTTTGTATAAAGCAAAATGCGTGCTATAACATCTATATTTTATATAAACTCATAATCCAGAGTGCAACTATAACATAACATGCACAAAGCATTGAACTTAAAGGAAGCTCAGAGCAAGCTGTTTCTTTCAGAATGTCTCTCACTGAAACTGTATGGCCCATTTGAGTAGAGCAGGTAAGGGGGAGTCAATCACTCCTCAGTCTCATTCAGTCATTCAGGCTATTCAATTTTGGAAATTAAATATTTTTTTTAGCAGGGCAGCAAAGAATAAACAGGTACACATATGAATAGGAGCCTAGAACTCTACCTGATGGCAGAAAAGAGATAAACATGAAATTGTAATATTTCATATTTTTCTGATTGAAAATAAAAAATACATTTTAATTCATTTTTTTTGTTACCATAAAAAATATAACAAACTATACATTCGCATTACAGCAAAGTATGTTTTGAATGTCATTCTATATGAAATATTTTTTTTAGCAGGGCAGCAAAGAATAAACAGGTACACATATGAATAGGAGCCTAGAACTCTACCTGATGGCAGAAAAGAGATAAACATGAAATTGTAATAGTTCATATTTTTCTGATTGAAAATAAAAAATCCATTTTAATCCATTTTTTTGTTACCATAAAAAATATAACAAACTATACATTCGCATTACAGCAAAGTATGTTTTGAATGTCATTCTATATCTGTCACTAGCACTGAAAAAAATCAAGTTGTCTTGTATGGTCTGCAGAGTAGATTTTGCATTCTTTCCTGAAAGTAAACCAGCTATAATAATGCAAACACATTCAAATCATTTAAAGAGTTGTTAGATAGATGTTAGATAGGTGAGAATAGGAGAGGTAGCACTAGATCACAACATGTATCATATTTCTGCTTGTTTATTCTTGTCTTATTTGGCCCCAGCTAAGGCTGGGGGGTGTATTGGGTTGCTGGGTATTTCTAAATAAAGCATGTGGACTGTTATCCCCATGACAAAGGGGAAGGTAATGTGCAGAAAAACAATTTTCTAAAGCCCACCTGGTGCTGAAACAACAGTTAAAACATATTTAATTTAATTATAGCACTATGGGCAATAAATCTTCATAATAAATAATTGCATTGTTATTAAAATGCATTGATTCACCCAAGCATTTGCAAACACTGTGGCTCTTTAGATGCATGGGGACCTTTAGATGTATCAAAATAAATGTTGTAATATTATTATTCTTTGTTTCCACGTGAGTGTTAAGCATATGTGGTTTCTAAAAGTATAGCATACATTTTCACCAAGCCATGCTTTCTTAGCATGTAGTTTGGATCTGTTAGGGTTGTGTAGCAAGCAATATAGTAAATGTGTGTTGCTGTGTGCCATTAATACACCAATAAATTACCCACCTACATATAGGTGTCAGTGTTTGAATTTTACTAAAACAAATGATTATCTGCGTTATAGTGCTCTCCCCAAATTACTCAATAACACCCTATTGACAGCTGCAGAGATAGAGAGAAGCTATGTAATATATTAAACAAAAGACACTGCGCTATCCTCAATCATTTCTATAAACCTCAAAGTGGCAATTAATATATTTCACTCACTGTTGTAATATGAAGAAAGCGAACACAAGGATTTCACCACATTCATTTTGTTTGGATCACATCATTCTTGGGAATATTTCTATATGGACTATATATAAGTTGGAGTGTTTCAATGTTGGCACATGCATAGAGATCAAGAAAATATCCTTTATTGAATCACAGTCTAAAAGCGGTAACAAACATGCTGCCGCGTTTCAGCCCAAAAAGAGCCTTAGTCATAACTCTATACTAAATAAAACAGTTCCACTCACTCTATGCTTTACATTTAAATCAGGGGTCTCAAACCTCCGACCCTACAGCTGTGGTGGAACTACAAATCCCATGAGACATTGCAAGATTCTCACAGCCACAGACATGACTCCCGAAGAGAGATGCATCATGAGATTTGTAGTTTCACCACAGCTGGAGGGCCGGAGGTTTGAGACCCCTGATTTAAATGATGATCTAAAAATGCCCATGCTGTATTCCAGGAATTGCCAAGTAAGAAACATCTTCCCTAGCCAAATGTTCTAATCTTTTTTTATTGATAAAATGATTGAACAAGTGTGATGTCTTCCAAAACTGAGATGTTACTGTGAGTAATTTTTATTTAGTTTTAAAAAGCATCTTTCAGGATCTTTGTTAAATGCAGACTCATCTACAACTGATTGCTACTTGGTGATTTCTAGGCTGTTTCCCAAGTACCAGTACATGCAGCACTGCACATTTACTCACTTAAAAATTAAATCAATAGAGCCTGAATAGGTAATAAAATTACTACTTTGCAAAAATGTAAACAAATTGATCTACAACTCTCAAACTCATTATCCAACACATTTTCAACTCCGTAAAAATAGATCTACAGCTTATAACCATATTTGAAATGCTGAGTGCACAGGAACAAAACACTTTTGAAAATGATAGCTTGAAAATAATTTGCTTAGGGAAAAGTTTACTAGAGAAAATAAATAAGATTATGTTTTTGTACTGTAAAGCTTATACTCGGTTTTTGATTAAATGACTTCTCACTCCTCCATATTCTATAGTTTATCTGATTACGGGTTTACTTAATATTTATAACATCAACCTGCAATGTTAAAGAAAAATAATGTAATCACTTATAGAAGGGTAAAAGCTGATTACCTAATTAGCATGTTAATGTTTAGGGATTATTAAATCATTCATGTCCAGGTATAACATTCAGGTTTAGTATGAGTCACTTTTTTATAGGCTTTCCTATTTATCTGATTTTCACTTATTTTTTTTCAGGTTATGAGTCTTTCATTAGGTACAAAGTTTTCATAATCATATTGCATATATGTTTATTGTAACTTAAGAAATAAATATATAAAAATACTGACCTTTTCATGTCATGTTTTACATAAGCATTTGATTAGCAGTAGCACATGCTAAAACATGTCACCTCATTTTTTTATGCAGAGAACCCACAAATATGTAACACTGACACTGGCATATAATAATAAAAAGTGTGCTCAGGATTTAGCTCACTGTAAAACAAGCTATTGTTTTCCAAAAAAAAAGGCTGGTACAGGGGGTTTCACTATACTTCTCCCCCTCCTTTTTCTATGGGAACAGACGTGCACGTTCATCTTATAAACTCATGTTTCTGTAAAGTCTGCAGGCACGTTAATTTAAAGGAGAATTATGAGGTGAGTGATTTTCACTCAGCCTCATAATCTGAGCTGACCTGTGACAATAAAAACTGTCACAGGTTGGCTCAGTAGATCGGGAAGTGAGCGAACAAATACCAGCGCTCGCTCACTTCTCGATCCTTTGCCAGCTGAGAGCCATGACAGGGGAGGGACTGGATTCCCCCCTACCCTGTCCGATCCTCCAGCGATGACTGGCGGAACAGACAGGGGAGGGGGCGGGTACAGCTGGCTCTGCCTCTAGATAGGCAGAGCCAGCTGTCACTCACGCAGCTGGGTGGATGCAGACAGAATTGTCGGGATCCGCTCTGGCTGTAGCTTGCGGGTTACTGAGCTTTGGGTGACTGGAGGATGCTAGTTTGTGTCCTCCCGTTACCCTTAGGAGAACTATGGGGTATAATTTATTATATTATAATTTTTTTATTTCGTGTTTCAAACTTTATCATACCTGGGATGTCTACTGGACTCTTGTTTGGACAGATTTAGGTGAGTTATTCCTAAAATTTACTAAGAATTACAGGCCTACAATATAAAACAACAAATTTCCATGAAAAACAATTGTACCGCTTTTGGTACAAAATTCCTGACATAATCATACCGCCAGGGAGGTTAAACCTGTCTCCGTACCCTGAGACTACTGCACAGACTGAAGGGTACCTCACAGTACCTGAATATACCTTTGGGTGACTGCACCAGAAGACTGACCCTTTGTTGGACAGTAAGGTTGCACATCATAGTGATGGGCCAATATAAACAAATAGGAAGAGTGAGAATCAAGCCAGCCTTCAAAGCCATCAAGGAGTGTCACTAATACAGTGTTACAGCAGCCCTGATTTGAGTGACCATAAGTATATATGCACAGAGATAAATGAGTAATAGAAAATCCTCTCTACCAGTGATTTGACAGAGTAAAGTCCTTTACTTACTGCAGTGGGCAAATATTCTATTCACCCAGCAAGTAAAATTGTAACAATTGGGTTGCCTCCAATAGTATTTCCACTTTTAAGATCTCAGGGGTAACAAAATGAAAGTCCCTCCTAACATTCCTACCAGACCTTAAGGGTCTGGTATAAATCAGGAGAGGAACCTAATGTTGTTTTTTTTTCTTCTGCGGACAGTAAAAAAAAAAAGTAATTTTTTTACCTTTTGTCTAATGTCGCTTTGCTGCAATGAAAATTCGTCTGGAATGAAAATTGGTACACGAATTTCATCCAAAATTTTCGTTATCGGGAACTCAGATTAATTTGCATTCGGCATACATCCGAATCTCCGAATAACGAAAATTTGTCCGAATAACAAATCTTTCCGAAACGAATCACACATGTCCACATGCTATGTGTGCCACATTTTATTTCTTGATACTTAGTGCCTCTTATTTGAGATTTGTTCAGTTTGTTTTTATACCTTGAAAGTCTTGTTCCAAAACTATGTGACAAATTGTTTGATGGTGTGTTATCAGTAGGGTGTCCCCTGATTTAATTTTCAGAATCTGGTAATCATAACCTAATAACAGCAGTCATGCTTTTTTAATTCACCTAATCCTCCTGCAAAGCTCCAAACTGCACTTTACAAACATATTGGTGCTCTATGGACAAGGTTATATCTTTATGCTAATATTCCCATTTACCAAACAATGTAAACAGTAGGACAGTGGCTCCAAGGTTAAAATGAAGAAATATGTCAGATCTTCAGAACTACACTGAGAGTTCAGAATTAGAGGTTATTCATATTATTATGATATTTTTTTCCAAGAATTTTTGTCATATGCATTTGTGAGAGCAATACACTGCATACAATTTAACTTACTTGTTACTTGCAATGTGTAGGGGACAAGCGCATGGTTTGCAGTCATCAGGGAATCCTTTTACAATGCCATAGAAACCCGGAGCACACCTATCACAGTGATCTCCTGTAGTGTTGTGTTTACAGGCCTGGAAATTTAAAACAAAAACACCTGAATAAATGCACAGATTGCTTTTATTGTCAGAACATTATTTTAAGCAAAATGCAAAGGCTGCAGTTGCTCACAAGACTGTCATAATTTTCCTGACTTTAGCACTTCATGGGTCACTACCTTAAATAAATATGAAGGTAAGTGACCCATAATTATGTGATTTCCCAACTTAGTCTGTGTAAGTAGCTAAGAGTATAGAAATCACATAATTAGCATGGCAGCCATGCGCCTATCATTTTTAGAATGAAGTCAGCAATATTATCCTTTGCATTTCTGGCGGCACTGTATCCCTTAAATATGCACAATAAGATAATCACAATTTGTTTATGCTATGTACAGGTATCTTTGTTAGCAACTGCAAATGCTGACAGCTTTAAACATGAAGGAGAAATAAAGTCATGCACCAGTCAGATTCATTGTGTGGGTAATTTCCCCCTCCATTATGTCCTGACTGCTCATGAGGGTGGACGTTATCACTAATAGCACTGGATTATTGTCTGATTGCATTTACTCTCACTATTCAACTAATCCTTACGGTGAACATATTTCTTTATTTTGATTTTATCCTATGCAGTAGTGAAGAGAGTAGTAAAAAAAGATGGGTTATGTTTCCAGTTCATCATACTGACTGCAGGACTGGTCAGTATCACAGAGACTAGGAATGAACTGCATTGTAGTTTATATTCAATGTACTGTAACAAGCTGCACCCACTTACCATTTATGGGAGACAATCAGTGTGCTATGGTCCACCCAGGCTTTTTCACTGGTGGTCTGTTACCTGTTGCCCCCAAGGCACTTCATTAAATAATTACTTGTACCAGTGGTATTGCAGAACATTTATGAATTGCTATTCCTGCTCCAAATTCTGTATTATATCTCCTGTTTCTGTACTAGCTCATCACCATTCCCGTATACAGGGGACCTGGTATTTTATGTGGCCATTTAATGGTAGAAGGAGTTTCCTGTGAGCTAAAGGAAATGCACCACACAAAGTGTGGCATGGTGCTGCAGTTACTATTTACCATGGAAAAAGGTGGATGTTGTCTTGCAGAGCTAGGATTGAAGTGATTCATTTTAAAGAGGAATACTATATGAGGTGACTGCTGCTCTGTAAAAAATTATATGGACTCACCTATATAAAATACAATGCCACTGCCACAAATAATCCTTATTATTCAGCTTTCTTTTAAAATTGAGCACAACATTTTAGCATTCTTCCAGCACTGATTTCCTTTGCAGCTCCCTGAATTCAGTTGCATAACAAAGCCACAAATGAAATTGATGCTGACAGATCACAGGTCTAATCAGGAAACAGTCAGCTATGTAAAACAAAGAAGCTGCAACTGACTTGAGGTCTTGCTTTGAATGAAGTATGCGTGAGGGAGTATCTGCAGTCAGGGCCACCAGTCGGACATATACTATTTGTTTTGGCATGGGGTGCAATTGCCCTAGTCCAGTCCTTCCTTGCCTGTATCCTAATTTCTAATACATGGCTCTGGTTGCTGGGCTATTGGACCCAAAAACCAATGCATTGCTCTTTTTCTGCACCTGCACATTGTGTTAGGTAACTCATCAAAATTATATTGAAAAAAAAACACAAAAGGCTTGCATTTTGTATTTAGGAAGACTTTTTTTTGCTATTCCTCTCTATCCAGTCAACAATATTTTGAATAGGCTAGCAAAGGCTAGCAATAACCCATCATCCCTGATACATTCGAACTGTGGTTGGTAAGAAGCATTCTCTGACAATAACTGATCTAACGATTTCTTAGTCAATGTCTTGTCAATTCATCCAATGTACAGGAAATGTTCACAATAACACATTCTTCAGAGCTCCATTCTATTCAAGTGTGACGTCAAGTCCATTAATGACTGTGATAGAAATTTGTTAAGGTTTCTGTACTTGTAGCATCTTCTTTTAGTTCTTGCTGATTGAAAGTGACACTAAACTCAGTAGTAAAATCTTAAAATGCATTCAAATTCCATAACTATACTCTCCTATAGATCCTCAAATCATCTCTGAACTTGTGCTGACACTGTAAAGTAGTCAATGCTACAAGCTTGCTCCCGTGATGGACTACAATCTCAATACAAATAAGTAAGTGAAACGTGAGATTGTAGTCAAGTAAGTGAGCTTGAAGCAGTGGCTACTTTACAACACACACAGGGACCACTGGGAACCAAAGTAGCCACCCTCCAGAAGGAAGGACAGTGTACACTTTATAAACGTCATCTAAATATCTTGGACATACCTCATACTCCCTGGTCTTTCCCCCCTGCTAAGGTTGTGTAATCAGCAAGCTTATGTGAAAATGATGTCTGAAAACATTGTAATTATTATTATTTATGCTAACTATTTTATGGGGTGATCAACAGGTAACATGTGCAGTACCCTGAAATAAAGCCCTTTGTCTTTAACACCCCCTGAAAAATATTGCATTTCATCATAGCTGTATATCTGCAGTGTAAGATCTAAGGCACTGTGATTCTGACTGCTGCTCTCAAATGATTCAGAGTGAGATTTGGTGATGTCATCAATGTGCTGCTCCTTGCTAAACGCTCTAACATAAGGAAACACAGTTTCCTTATGTTATGCCACACAGAAACATGCCACACAGAAACACAGTGCAGAACATGGCCTGATAACTCAATAATGGGGGAAAGATTAGCTGCAAGCAGACCACAGGCAATTAGTCCTTTGCCCTCTGATTTGCTTTTTTGGGCACCACTTCCAAAATTCAGTTCTCTATAAATATTTTTAGGTGATTTTTTTCATGGGTGTATTTTATTACAGTACATTTTTTCATCATGCATGTGTAAACTTTTTGATTTTGTTTATTTGTTTTTGTAGTTTCACATTAACAAAACAGACACAGCTTTAGAGAACTGTCTTCATTTCACTTGTAAATTAGTTTTGCAATTGTTTTGTAACATGGGCCAAATGTAAATAAAAATGCAAACATTGTTTCCGTTCAATAAGGTGTATACAGGTGTGAGAGCTGAAGTGGTTAATTGTCTACTTTCATAACATTTAGCATCACATGTAATTATTTACATAGCAGAGCCAGATACACCTTTTTTTCTCAGCCTGGTATTCTGATGTAATTTAATTCTGTAACCTTCCAGCCTGATTATTCTTGGTCATGGCAATGGATTTTTAAGAATTTGTATTGCAGTATGTAATTTTTTGTTACTTATTCTGCACACCCTTGCTCTCTGTCACTGCCATGGAGAGCACTGTAGTTTCAAGGTACTTCACCTTCTGGTTGACTGATTATAACAAAGGGTAATTTATTGTTTGACTATACTGTAAGTAGAATAAAGTAATAACATATATTCTAATTAACTACTGAGCTGGCTACAGTATAAATACATATTTATGCAGAAAGTGTAAACTTTTTTGAAAGCTGTTTTTTTTTTATTTTAAGGTGGTTTTTCTACTCTTAGTTGACAGAAAGTGGAAAACCCTATAATATGGACTGTTTAGTGGCAGGGGTCTATAGCTCTGCAGAGGGGGTCTACTCTTGATGAGGCAATGTGACTTCTAAAATTGTGCAACTAAAACCTCTGTTTTTAACTCTAATAGTTAGACAGTGTATTTTTTTTTGTAGGCTGGCTGGTGAGTGTACCGAGACATTTTTGCTGTTATAGCTGAAAGTAGACACGCTGTTATGTAAAATCATACCTGACAAACAGAAGTGTTTGAGTCACACATATTACTGTGCCCATTGCATTGACAAGGTACACATGTGCCAAGAGTTGGTTCAGTTCTTTGTCCTGGGGAAACAGGAGCCATTCTGTAGAATCCAGGAAAACATTCCTAAAGCCAAAAATAACAGATAAAGCAAATAGTCCACTTTTCTCAATAACAATTGGAAAAAATGCATTTGTCGTGGTACAATGTTTTTGCTAAACAAATGGGTGGTCTCTCATGTAAGAAATATACTGTATATATGTATATCAATTTTATATTATTTCATGAAGATTGTGCATGTCTTATAATTTTACAAATGCATCACTGGGTATATATTAATTGCAGCATATAAATGTTTACTGTAGAAAAAATATCTGCACAAGGTTACTCAATATAACTGTACATGTTATGAATGTGCATATTATAAATAGTAAAGCATACCTCACATGAAAGCCCAGAATATCCCACAGGACATTCACATTTCTCTATCAAATGGGCCTTTGGACTCATGGTAAAAGAAGTCCCTTCTTCTGCTACTTCCAAAAATACCTCAGAAATCCTATCAATATAAAATACATTAGTTACAAATGTAATTGTGCTATTGTTGAATAAACAGCAATAAAACAAAGCATATGGCACAAATTTAGATGTTTGTGTGTGTTGAAGAAATGTAGTAACTCTTGTATATATGGGTTATACTGCCACCTTTAGGAGATTTAGACAATGGCAAACAAAAAAATATTAAGCCAGCCCCTGTATAACCCTGGTCTCCAATTGTCATGACTCGGTTCTGTAAGCAAGTAGTACATGAGGCAAACAATACAGAGGGTTGGAACCTGTGTCTCCCAATGGACTTAAAAACATTTTTTATGGTAAATGCAAAAATCTTATTTTCTTTATTGTCCATTGAGGATCACAGGAATGTAGTAATTATTGGACATATGGGATGTTCAGAAGCAATCCAACTGAGGGATAGGCAACAGCCACTAAGAAATCCAATAGATGTGGACATTTTTGTATGTGGAATGTGGAAAGAATTTCTGTAGGATTCAATGCTTGAACAATGTGCTTGAAGCAGCAGTATCGGTGGAAGGAGAACTTATTCAGAGCTAAAATGCAGGAAAGGATCATGAAGTGTGTGCATGCAACACTTTTCCTGGCAGATGATGTCTGCAATGAGTTCCCTCAGGCATTACTGTTATCTTAGGAAAAAGGGTGTGACTTTTCAAAGAGAAAACTGATTCCTACATTTAAAATTGTGAGGAAGTCCTGTTGCTGTAACCCAAACTGCCTTATTAATTAAATTAATTGTGAGAGATGCAGAATCCAGTGCCCAAAGGATATGTATGTGTTAATTATGCCATGGCTCAGAAAATGGAAAATGGTCTGTGAAACAGTATTAAAGTGACTGGAAAGCACAATGGATACAGAGTTCAATGCCCAAAGGAAACACATAAAGTTAGCTTCACACCATTCAAAGGTTCATAACAAAGAGGGGGTTCAGAGACTGGGTTATACTATTGTCCACTAATCTAACTCTTGGGAGTGTTCTGCAGAAAAACTCACACAGTATGCTAAGGTCTGGAAAGTGCCACAATGCAGAACTCAGTGCCCAAGGCTGCTTACCATGATGTCTTCCCATTATGCAACGACTTACTCCCAGAATGAGTCTACAGAGGCTAGGTAACACCAGAGGATGTGACCCAGCACTTACTAAGTGCTACAAGCAGAGCTCAGTTCCCAAAGGTGACCTTCTTGGTGGTCTTTGCCCCATCCATGGGCTTTCATAGACTCACATAGTGAGTCTTCAGAGACTCAGTCGCAGCAAAATCTATGCCATGGCTCTGGACCTGGAGAACACTTTGTGGCTAACTAACACAGTACACAAAGGCACCCTCAGAGACCAGTGAGAAAAAGTCACCTTACAGGCTAGCCATACAATGTTTGACCCAGCAGGGTCCTCGTATGGCCCCCAAAGTTATTGCTGACGAAATACCAATCTAGATAAATGCTGTTTAGAGGCCATCTCAAGAAATATATTAAACACCTTTACTGGAGAGAAAAACATCTGTGGAATACAGACAATGTTGATAAATGTTGATAAAAGGAAAAAGATGGAAAAATATAATTTTACTCAGCAGAGCTTAGGAAAAAGTGCCCAACCTTCTAGGACACTAGCAGAAAACTGGGGCATGACAGTTGTAAGCGGGGCTTTACAGGGCGGATTTAAACAAAAATTTGTTTGCCAGTGTTCAGACCTCCTGAAGGTGGCAATGTAACCCACCTGTCCAATAATTACTACAACTCCTCCTAATAAGGTTTGACTATTTTTGGTTTGGGGGACACATTGGAGTCCCAGCGTGCATTTTTGGTTGCTGGGCCTCCAGTGCGTCCCTGCACCTTATTAGGAGGAGTTGGCTACCTCCAGGTACACCTGCATGTAATTTATCAACTTCATTAATATGCTCACACTTGGAGACTCGGATACATAGAGTTAGGACCACACTTTGCAGAGGTGCCTTGGCGCGGCAGTGTGGCTTCTACATATTTTTGGCCAAAAGTTTGTGCAACTAAACCTCTGATTTTAACGCATACTGTTGACAGGGCTACTTGTTTGGTTGCAGGCTGGCTGGCAGGTTGAGGCTGGGGAATTTTTGTGTTTTGTATTGTTGTAAGCCTTCCCAATGTGCGCCCTGCTATAAAGGCTGGTTATAGATTCATGCATGTACCATTTTTTCTAGTTTGACTATTTTTGGTTTGGGGGACGCATTGGAGTCCCAGCGTGCATTTTTGGTTGCTGGGCCTCCAGTGCGTCCCTGCACCTTATTAGGAGGAGTTGGCTACCTCCAGGTACACCTGCATGTAATTTATCAACTTCATTAATATGCTCACACTTGGAGACTCGGATACATAGAGTTAGGACCACACTTTGCAGAGGTGCCTTGGCGCGGCAGTGTGGCTTCTACATATTTTTGGCCAAAAGTTTGTGCAACTAAACCTCTGATTTTAACGCATACTGTTGACAGGGCTACTTGTTTGGTTGCAGGCTGGCTGGCAGGTTGAGGCTGGGGAATTTTTGTGTTTTGTATTGTTGTAAGCCTTCCCAATGTGCGCCCTGCTATAAAGGCTGGTTATAGATCCATGCATGTACCATTTTTTCTAGGCTGTCCTGTTGACCTCTTTCTGCCAATGGTAGTTGTCTGGCTATCTCTGTTTTTAATATCTGCTGAGTCATTTAGCCAGAGCAAGCATGAATTAAGTAAAGCCAGAACTTATAATTTGTACAATTGTTTTAGCTATCTAATGCAGAAAGTACTAAATAAATTGAATTAGCATTGCAGCCTGGCAACTAGCATTTCCAAAAATACAGCAATGGCAATAGCTATACTGTATTTCATGTATTTCTTTCAACAGAGTTGGTATTGTATGGTGGCACACAAGTATAGTACCAATGAGGGTCCCTATTGCTCATAGTTTTGATTTTACTGTATTAAAGTCTCATGAAGAGTTTGGAGAAGGTGGGAGAAGTGAACAATCTAGGACAGCATAGCTGATTTGGAAACATTCTCCAATTCAGCTCACTTTTCAGTTAAGCTATGTTGTCCTAGTTTGTTCACTTCTCCTGCCTTCTCCAAACTCGTCACCCTTTTGTGAATAACCCTTCTAATATTAGTGCAGTAAGAAAAGTGAAACATTTTTAATGGTAAGTAAAATTAGCAATAATGTCACATGCTGCCTTTCAAAGAAGTGGGGGTCACATCTAAGGACACCAAAATCTATAATTTCCCCAAACACTACTCTGAATAGGTAGAGTTCACTCCCGGCGGAGAGACCAGGGGCCCGCCGCGCGCTGGATAACGATCCGGCGGCCGGCAACTTGCTGGGCCCCTCCAGAGCCTGAGGCCCCGGGCGCCCGCACCGCCTGCACCGGCGGTAGTTCCGCCACTGAGTACATATGTGATGGTTAAAAATTCAGTTTTTAAAGTCCACCCATTGCTAAACAGTGTTCTTAGGAAGCAGTAACCTAATAAAACAGGGCTTTGTCACAAACCTTTTTTGTTGGTTTTAGACAGAGTAGGGGAATGTTAACATTTCTGTCAAGTTTTATTTGTTGTACATGTCCTCGATCAGGAAATCTCTCCTCATTATCAGTGACACAGAGACAGTGAGCAGAAATAAAAGGCAATCTTCTCATAGCAAAGGGAACAGGTGTTTCCAGAATTGATGTCCCTGCTGTCACTTCACCACCTGGTATAGTGACAACTGTACTTTTTTGTATTTGCACTCAATGTGGGTAAATCTCCCTTGTGGGGGTAAGCAATAAAAAATTTGAAATTGTAACTTTTTCACCCTCTATCAAAAAAAACTTTCAAATTATGGAGTCTCAGTTTGATATTATATTGCCAAAATATATTTTAAAACATTAGCTTAGCGAACTGCCAGCTTTTAAAGCTTGTGAAAATATATTGCGATACAATCTCAGGCTTTAATTAATGTATATAAGGTGTCAACCCATAATGTCAATTCATTATTCTGTAATGTCTAACAAACCAGATTTCTTCAATTCTTCCGTTAATGACTTGTGGTCATTAACATGACCACAAGTAAAGACATATGGGGGTGATTCACTAACCTAAACACACACACGCACCAGGTGCGTGTGCATTTTTACACAGCAAAACGTATTTATCAACCAAACACGAGCAACGTGTCACATTTTCACGCCGTTATGGCGTGTTTTTAAGTATTTACGTACGTGCGCGTCATGTAGCATGCGCCATAGGCTACACGCCGCTCTAAGAGCGGCATGCAAGTCTCTAAAAGCATATTTCCACTAATGCCATATATGGAAAAATCATGCACATGATGCATATATAATGCTGCTTCACAGTTTAGACAAAAATGGTTAGCTCATGCATTTACATTCCTGCATTCATCAATGCAAGCAACACAACGTAGAGCTAATTTACACAACATCACCTTGCAATTCATGCAGGGCTTTGCAGGGCTTTGCACAACACACCTGCTGGGTGTGTACACACTACAAAGGCGTCTAGATTCCACCAATAGATCATGCTCGGAGGGAACACACTACATTTTCTGATACTTTCTGATACTTGAGGTCAGTTGGATTGTGCATACATTTCTAGGTCGCTGGTGTAAAGTAGAAAGATTTTCATCCACTTTGTGTATTATTTGTTTTGTACTTCTCAAGGAATGAATTGTAAAGATTAATCACCATCTGGCTATTTGTATGGTTTGTATGCATTGAAAAAGCAATGCTTCTGTCTGATATAAACACTAAAATTGTAGAGAACATATTCAAGGAGTTTGAATTCAGTTAGAAGAAGCAATAGAAAGAACAATACAAACATAATCTTTGTTTGTTCTATTTTCTCTCTTTAGTGAGAAGACCGCAAGGATTTAACAAGCTTTTTACTTCGTCAATACAACAAACAGCAAGTAAGAGCAAACATGTCAAGGGCAGCAGGACAACTGAGCACATGTAGCCTGGGAATAAGGAAGATAATGGCACTGCCGTCATTAACATGAGCATTGGATGCTTAACTGATTTCCACAGATTCCCTGGATAGGTTTGTCATTATGTCCAGTTGAATGTACTGACGTTGCTTTGTACAGAATATGAAATCTACCAAAAGAAATGGTGCTAAAGAGCCTCTAGTTGGTAAAACATACTTTGCTTAGACAATTTCTATCTCGCATGGGACAATTGCATATGGATAAAACTTCAGATATACATATTTATTCAGTGTGGTGTTCAAGCTTTTCAGAAGCAAGTCTCCATGCATTTAAATAAAAATCTCTCTCTGTCATCTTTAGAACTTGAGGAAATAGTTTGTGTACAGCAGACTATTTACAACCAGAGATGTCAATTTACATAATAATAAACTTTGGGAGCACAGAGCTACTTGTTGCTGGTCTGAGAGGCTTTCTGAGAGCAAGCAACAACTTGCTGCCTGCATGGTAAACGTCTTCGGGGATTCAGCCTAACTAGTTCCCAGTCACTGTTTGAGATTTTAAATAATTTCAAGCAAAATGAAGAGCATACTAGCTGCCTGAGCTGATATAATATATTATCACTTTATGTACGCTTCAAAAACAAAGCACTGTCTTGGAATTATATTGAGACACAAAATAGGAATGATATATGGGCAGGAAAGCACAATACTGTATGAATACATAAATCACCAGCATACTCATGTAAGACAACATGGAAAACATTTCTGCTAGTTTGTGATTAATATAACATTTGTACTGATTTATTATCTGGAAATGTACATTTTTATTGCCTTGTGCTGGTATTCAGCACAAGGCAATTTATCCATGAGCAACCACTCCCTTGTGTCACTTAGTATGCATATTTTTGGATGTATTAATAAGATTACTTGTGTGGTTATCAAACTCTACAGTATGGACTGTCCCTACAGGGAGCTTAACAATACAACAATACAACATCAATGGATGTGTTATTAAGGTTATGTGTGTGGTTGCCAAACTCTAGGGGAAAAGACACTGTCCCTGCAGGAAGGTTAATGATACAACATCTATCCATCATCCATTCACTATAAGAGCACTGTGTTCATGTTTTATTAATATGAAATTCTGTGCAAATGTTTTCATTTTTTTGTCTTCATTTTTTTGTATTTGTCAGACATGACTTACACAGTACTAAATGTATTGTCTGTTGTCACAATAATTCAGTAAGATATAATTATTGGTATGATAGCTAGCACTGCCATGGCTAGCATCCCAATAAATTAGATATGGTCTAGCACCATAATAATGGCAATTGACATGTTATTATTGCAATCCTCATGTTTATGGGCACTAGCAAAGCAAACCACATCACATGCCCCCAGCGAGCCAATGGAGAAAGAGCCCTTGGTCAAGTTCAATACATTTTAGACTTACCAGTACATACATTGATGTCATATGGCCTTACCTTGCGCTATCAACATAAACATGCATTCTTGTCCAACCCAAGAGAGCATATTTATGCACAAACCTCTTGCCTGCACATCTGACTGACCTCTAATGTCATTGTCTCCCCGTAGGTATACTTTTAAGACTCAAAATTAAATGTATAGATTAGGAGCCCATTCAGATTGTTGCAGTGCATTACAGCATGTGTGTTAATGTGTGTTATGTTAAGACAGCCTATTTATATTCATTGTGCTGGCAAAGCACCATATATTTGAATGGACTCACAGCATTCTTTACAATTCAGCATACCACACTACGCAGAAAGCTCACATCTGTGCAATTCCATACACAAAAAGTGCATTGGGCTGCGTTGCTAAGGTGTCTTTGGTTTCTATTGAAAATTAATGTCATCAAAATACTATGTTTTACCATGTAATGCAGTAGAGCAGTGCTCCCCAACCTTTTTATCGCCGCAGACCGGTCAACATTTGATAATTTTACCGTGGCCCGCTGAGGGGGGGACGTTGATTGTTTATATTTTAGATTGTTTTGATTTAATAATTTTAATTTAATTGTATTTAAACATGCCTTCAAAATAAAATACAGTTACACCAAAAAATGAAAGCATTGAAATTCTTCACCTATTCCACCACCGAAAAACTGGGCGAGATTACGTTAAAATGTGTGACCACATCACTGGTCACACATTCTAACATAGTCTCAAAGTGTGATAGAACAGACGACTGTCTGTAATCATTAGACATGTGCACCAGCAAAAAATTTGTTTAGTTTAGTTTCGTTTTGAAAAAAAAAAAAAAATTGTTTAGTTTAGTTTCGTTTTTCGAGTCCGAAATTAAATTAGTTTCGGACGAAATTCGTTTATGAAAAAAAAACAACAACTTTACTCTCCCATGGCTGGACTTGAAACCAGCGAACTTCACAATGGCAATCAATTAGCAAGCCTGTACCTCTATCCACTACTCTATAGCCTCTGTACTGTAAGCATAGAAGCAATGGGCGGTTTTTTTTTACAGTCTGCAGAAGATTAAAAAAAAAAGAAAAGCCTGAGGTTCCCCCCCAATTCATACCAGACCCTTTAGGTCTGGTAGGAATGTTAGGAGAATGCCAATTCAAAAGCAAAGGAAAAAAAAAAAAACTTTAAATTAAATATTAGTTGACTTAGCCGGGATTTGAACCTGCAACCTTAGCTACGGCAAGCCTGTTCTCTACCCGCTACTCTATAGCCTCTGTACTTTAAGCATAGATGTGTTGTAGAGGTAAAATGGTGTCATAATGTCATTTTGCTGCAACGAAATTCGGATTCGTTTGCATTCGTCTTAGCTGTAATTCGGAATTCGGATGCATCCGAATCTCCGAATTTCCGAAAATTCGTCCGAAACGAATTTCGGAACGAACCGAATCGCACATGTCTAGTAATCATTTAATCAGAGAAATAGATTATAATAGGGAACATTACAGTGTAATATTTCCCATTATAATCCACATGTCTAATTACATGAAAAATAGCAGTACACAACAGAGAGATAGATTATAATAGGGAACATTACAGTGTAATATTCCCCATTATAATCCACTTGTTTAATTACATGAAATAGCAGTACACAACAGAGAGATAGATTATAATATCCGCCCCCTCACTGTGAAGCCCGTCGGCAGTGCGGGGCCCCGGTGTTCGAACACCGGGACCCTGCACTGCCCCATATTGCAGGACCGGACCGCACTGAGACTGTGCGGCCCGGTACCATTTGATCCGCGGACCGGTACCGGTCCGCGGACCGGGGGTTCGGGAACACTGCAGTAGAGCACTGTACATTATTGTGCATTACGGCAAGACAGTAGTGCTAAGTTGACTGCATCCTAAGATGCATATAAAACCTCTATCTATACTGGGATCTCATATTGCCAGGAGCTTAAAGCCCTATGTGACTATATTTCAGAAAAATATAAAAAAACTTGGAAACAAAAATCTGCATGCCATAAAAAAATGTGTATTTTATTTCAACTTTTTCTATACATTTTTATATAGTACGAGAAAAGTAAAAATTTACTGACGATAGTAATGTAAGATAAAGGGTGGGTTTCTGGGTAGGCCACATGGAATGTTAATAGGGTTATGTATTCAGTGCCTACGCTCATCTTCTGTTTGACTTTTTGCCTATTATTTTCAGTTAAACTACTACATACTACTAAACACCATAGACATTTCTAGCAAACTTTGCTTAAGAAAAGGGATTCTTAGTCCCCATAAATGTCATACATGTTAAAAAATTGGCCAACCATACACAGTGATACCTCTGGGCCAGTCCTTATTTTATTGCCAAAATATCAAACACGTGCATGCATATATAGCATGTCAATTGGCATATAATGCCAAAATGGCATAAACCGACACTTTTAGAGGACAGTTACAGAACTGTGTCTGGTCAATGCTCTCTGCTCTATGCAACAGCTCTATGCAACAGCTCTATGCAACAGAACTCAAAAAATAACTTTGGATCTGAACAAACAAAATTACATATAATTCAACTTCATGCACTCCGAGCCCTGTATTTTGCATAAAGTTCTTTGATTAAAATGTATGCATTTCTAAAAATGTACAACCCAGGTGTTCTAATTCCTCTGTTTTACCATTCTAAATAGAATGTTAAACAATAATAATAGGAGTTTCTGGAAACACACTTATTGATACCCTTCTCTTTGTTTAATAATTAAATAAGTTAGCATTATAATTATTTACCTGCTTTGCCTCAATACTCTACCATACGATGCCTTAATTAGAATGTATTGTATATCATATAGAACATCCATGAAATCTTCACGGGTAACAGGACCTCCATCCGTATTTTTCCACTCAAACTGAAACAGAAAACCAAAATAGTTTTTAAGTAACAATGATTTAAATTATTCCTACAACAAAAAAAGGACATAAATGCACACAAAAGTTACCTCTGTCATGTCAATATCATGTCTAGTCAGTTGACCATTTTGGGGATCAGGCATGTGTCTTAAAATTATCCTTTGGTTTGCAGAAGGCCCACCTCTAATAATCACTTGCGATTCATAGGCAGAAGGTCCAGTCTCTTCCCTGGCTTCAAAGTAGATGGTATATTTCAATTTCCCTCCATAAGCTGTCAACTGTATTGTAAAAAAGATATAACAATAGAAAGGAACACAGTAAAGTTTAACTACAGACAGATATATTAAAACAAACATAATTCAATCAAATTATGTTTTTCTTAAATCATAAATATTTTATTTAGGGCTAGAATAAATACCTGAATCTGTCTTGATATTTGCTTCCTGTAATTCTATGCACAGCATCTCTCACACTTAGAAAGTTGAACAGGAGTCTGTGTAACCCCTTCAGACTTCATGAAGGGATTATCCCATCATAGGTCGTGAAGGGGTTGACTGTTTAATGTGTTTTATATGCAGGAACATATGGTACAAATGCAAACCAAATGCCTATAGCTTTTATTTTTCTTTAAAATAAATTGTTTGATCTGGCTAAACAAACTTTGGATTCAGGTTTGAAACTGAAATGTGAGATATTTTAAGTACTAAATAAGCATATACAGGGTTATTCACAAAAGTGTGAAGAGTTTGGAGAAGGCAGGGGAAGTGAACAATCTAGGCCAAAATAGCTGAACTGGAAAGTGAACTGAATTGGAGAATTTTTCCAAATCAGCTATTCTGGGCTTAATAGTTCACTTCTCCTGCCTTCTCCAACCTCTTCACCCTTTTGTAAATAACCCTGATAATATTTCTTATGAAAGACATAAAAATAGGCTAATATTTTTTGTAAGAAACTCCACTAATTATTAAATTGATTGGTCCAAATTTGACATCAGATAGTTCTTTATTTACCTATACATAATAATATATAATTTTTTCTACTTGACCAGACACACATTTCTTACTTCTGACTTTTCTACAGCCAAAAAATGCAGCACTTACTTAAAATAGGAGTTATTTTTAAAGAAGAGTAGCCCTCAAAATACTAAACCAAGGCGTCCTATAAAAACATTTCCTAATCAGTCAAGCATCTCAAAGGCTCCTAATACAAAATCCTATGGTGAAGTAATACTGCAAGCTCTTGTGGTTAAGCTCTTGTGGTTAAGGGGTCTGGGTAAGGAATGTTTTCCATATTAAAAAACAGGATGGGATTTAGGTGTTACATGGGCTTCTGAGATTGAAAATGCTATCGGATTTACAATAATTTACCAAAAGAGATATGTATTTGATAAAGAATAATTTAAAACACACATTTATTAAAAAAAAAATTCAGTTTGACCAAATTAAATTTTCTCTGATACAGGTGGACACACATGGTCTGCAGCCTGTCAGATGTGTTGTTTACTTTTTGCATGGTTGGAACAAAGCTCCAATACTTTGTAGACGGCTGCATATGTACCTAGAATGCTCTCTTAGAGCAGGGGTCAGTGTAGTTTTTCAACTGTCATGCAACTCATTCAATCACTTATTTGTCCATTGCTAAACATGTCCAGACACTTTAAATCTAGTAATAATTATTCATCTCTGGACTGGGGAACCTACACATCAAAACCTGTAATAAGAACCAATGATTTCTAAAAAGAAAAGGCTGAATATAAGTTTGCTTGAATTGAGAACAGTAAAACTTGGTTTTCAGAGAATACAGATTCAAGCAGTTAAAAAATCAATCCCACATTGTGCCCATCCTCAGATTGCACCACAGTCAAATTCACTCTGTTTGGAGGTTCTAGAAATTAGAGCAGGGGTCAGTGTATTTTGTCAACTGTCATGCAACTCATTCAATCACTTATTTGTCCATTGCCAAACATGTCCAGACACTTTAAATCTAGTAATAATTATTCAGCTCTGAACTGGGGAACCTACACATCAAAACCTGTAATAAGAACCAAGTATTTCTAAAAAGAAAAGGCTGAATATAAGTTTGCTTGAATTGAGAACAGTAAAACTTGGTTTTCAGAGAATACAGACGCAAGCAGTTAAAAAATCAATCCCACATTGTGCCCATCCTCCGATTGCAACACACTCAAATTCACTCTGTTTGGAGGTTCTAGAAATTTAGGATAGGTTTGTCTAGTATGGGCTATCAAGCAATGGTACCCAGAAATTGATGAATGTAGCCAAATACTACCATTTAGTATGAAAGTAAAACAGTTTTCAAATACATTGAGGGGAATTTATCAAAACTGGAGCAGACAAAATCTGGAGCAGCTGTAGATGACAACCAATCAGCTTCCCTCTTTCATTTTCAAATCTTAACTGAACATACTGAAGATAGAAGCTGATTGGTTGCCTTGGGCATCTGCTCCAGATTTTATCTGCTCCAGTTTTAATAAATTCCCCTTGTATTTTCATGTTCATCAAAGGTAAAAAAAAACTAAGGGGGACATTCAATAACCGAGCCAAATTGAAGTGAGCCAAATGTCATTCGGTCATTCAATAACCGAGCCAAATTGAAGTGAGCCAAATGCCATTTGGCTATTCACTTGACGACTTGCCAAAGTCAAGAAAATCTGACGCCTGCTGGCCTGTCCACATGCAACGAACTCCAGCTGCAAAATGAGATTCTGTCAGATGCCGGCAAAATTTAAACAATTGGGTGGAGCCCAGTTGTTGTCATTTAATGACAGCCCAGTGTCCTTAAATGACCCGGGGGCCCTGGGCTGTTGTCATTTGTGGGAAAAATGGTCTGCTTAGGCTCAGCCAAGCTGAAGTATATGAATTCAGCTCGGCCGAGCCGTTCGCCGGCTTTCAGCTGCTGTATAATGAGAATAGCCTGTACAGCAGCTCTTCAAGTCAGCTGAACCGGAGGGCTCCGGCGGCCAAAGTGACCCAAAGGATTAGCCGATGCTTCGGCTTAATCCTTCGGCTCCTTTGTGAATAACCCTCTAAGGGTCTATTTATAAAAGTTTTGATGGTCAATTTAACAAACATTTGCCAAACATGCACCCCTTTTTTTGGTGCAAGGTTCAATTTTCCACATTTACATTTACTCTTTTCTATTCATTTACAAAGGAGCTTTGCTCAAAATTCGGTCATGGTCAAAAACGTTTATGAAACACCCATGTGTGCCCACACCTGTTCTTCAATGCCAAAAGTGTTTTATTGTACTTTTCATCCTATTTATTATCCTCAGTAAATTAACCCAACATTTTTGACCTTGCACAATATTATAACTACTCCCTAGTTTGGCCTGGGCAAATGTGTTTTTAAAAGTCAGTCTTACTTTGGAGCTGTAGATTATTTCATCCATTGGAGAGTGGGAGAAACGTCTTGTTTTTACAGATATTCAGCACATTAAGAAAAGGGAAAGTGCTCTCCCAGAGTGAACCATATGTAAGAAAAGTTTATTTAAAAAAGGTAACCACGACAAATAGTATTTTATTAATCTTATTAAACTAATATTTACCTCTTCCAGGTTCCAATGATGTTCAAAGATGTCACATGGCATTTGCTGCAGTATTGTGAACATGCTCCTTTTTTTCTTTGATGGAACCTAAATGTGAAGTTCCTTGCACTTGGCATGGTTTTATGTACCAAGACACTCTGGAATTGTGGTTATAGTCCAACTCTGATGTGCAATTGAGTTCCCTGTGACATCATACTCCAGCAATGATGTCACAGGTAACGCCATACCGGAGTTCTCTGTGCACATAAAACCATAGTGAGCATGGGCAATTTCACATTTGATTATGCTCCTTCCTCTCTCCTGCAGACAATGCTGAAGCATATTCTGCACAACTTTTTTGGACATAATTGAACCCTGCAAAAAAAGGTTTGCCTATTCACTTGAGTGGTGAACTAGTTATGGGTCTGGTGGATCCCTGAAGCCTATTCGCCAGGGAGAGGGTGACTACCTACTTGACCCCTATGGGGGAACAGGTAGGTGGTACATATGCCCCCCCTTGAAACTGTTTTTATACATGGTTTTAGCACTATGGACAGCAAATACTGCAGATGAGTAGGGCATGATTTAAAAAGATACACACAAATATTCAACCAGAAATACGAAAACCTCCACAGCATTCAACTTAACAAGATTCACCCATCATGCCCTGCATAATAGAGTGAATGTTGGCAGAAACTGATGGGTAAATTGGCCAATGAATCATTGATACACACTCCTAAGTGTAGTTTGTGACCAAAAACACAACAACACTTTTTTACTCAAGATGGACCCTCACAGTAAAGTTTAAACAGCACTTGTAGGTGGTGCCTATGTGGCTGTTTTACTCCCTAGAATAATTTCCTGCGCAGAGAATAGATTTCTGCAGTTGTTATAGTGGCATTTGGCAAGTCTTTCTTCAAACACAAGAGGAAGTGCAGAGTGTTTTCTATGCGCAGGGAGAAGGGGATATGTGTATCAATATGAATCCTTTCCAACAGCTTGGGTTAAAATATAAATCAACCAAAAGTGTGAAAAAAGTTGTTCATACACTTCCCTGTACTACTGTTCTTCTACAAATAAGACACTTAAAATGACACTAAAGTCATAAATTATATAATAAAAATAACTTCTATTACATAAATAATCAATGCCTGTGTACCTTTGTTTGTCATTGTTCAGCTCTAAATGCTCCAAAATGTGCTTTATTTTTCACCTCCACAACTACCTGCCAGAGGGTGGCTACTTTCCTTCTCCATGGTCCTTATGGGAGCTGAAAAGTGGCCACCCTCTGCGCTCCTTCTTGTGAAGGACTACACCATGCTGAGGGCGTGCCTTCTCAGTCTCCACCCACAAATCCTTCCCTCTAGACTCTGCAAGGAGCTAGGATTTCTTCAGCTCTTCCACACTAATATATGATCTTTTATTTCTCTCATCCTGGCTTAACAAGGAGGGAGTGTGGGGGGAGCCGCTTGTGGGGAGATTCAGCAAGTGAGCTGTAACCAGCCTCATACTTTCTTCTGAGTCTCAGCTCATATGATGAATCTCGTTACACAGTCATAGAGAATATGGCACCTACATTTGAAATAAAGTTGTTTTTCTGTGTAGATTGTTGTAAACTTGATGTTTCTTGTAGATTTGTTGTCAGTAGCTTTGATAATTCAGAGCTTAGCAGAGGAGATTACAAGCAGTGACACTGTCACAGTGTGTTTAGTGAGCATATGGAGGGGGAGGAGGCAGCTGTGTGCAGTAGGAGATGATTCCTCTCGGCCTCATGGGAGCTGTAGGCAAAGAAAGATGTGCGCGTGACCGGAATCAACGTGTACGGCTTTTACTAAGTGACAGGAAGTGTGAGGGGAGAGAAGAGCCCCAGGAGCAAGCACAGGTGACTTTCTAAAGGTATTACAATAGAAACACTTTATTTTAAAATATAAATAAATGTTCATTGTGTAGATGTGTATAAGAAGAAAAAAACTGAGGGTTTTGTGTCACTTTAAGTGCCATTAAAACATCAGACAACTAATTTTTTTTGAGTATAAAAAAAGAAACAAAAAAAAATCAAGTTCATGCATGCATGTTGAACACATTCCATTTTTAGCTTCACTGAGCCAACTTTACCAAATTTGTAATTGTTTGCTTTCCTCTAAACTCTTCTTTAACCACTTGCCATGCTGGGCATTTTCCTACTATTTGCACACACATGATAAAATATACATTTTTGGCTAGAAAACAGCTTCAGACCCCCAAAAATGATATATTTTCTGAAAGTAGAGGCCCTGTAGAATAAAAAAATGCTAGGTGCAATTTTTTTGCGTCGCACGGTTTTTGCCAAGTGTTTATCAAACACGTATTTTTAGCAAAAAATAAACTAAATTCAAATTTAGTGCCCAGAAACATAATATAATACCCAATTTTTTGGTAAAATATGAAAGGCGATCTTATGTGTTCAATGCAAAAAGAAAAGCCCATCCAATGTCAAATGTACTGCAATATGATTACATCTAAAAAAGTGATACTTCATGTCTTATTTACCTTCCGACCTTCAAACTGCTTTGGCAGTTTCCAATAAAATGGTTCAGATTGTAGGTCTTGCTTTACGTCATCAATAAATGCTACAATTTCTGGATGTTGGAAAAATACCCCTTTTGTGGTTCGATGCTGCAGGGTAAAGTCTGTTAGTTCGAGTACTGTCTGATCAGGCTTCAGTGACAGCTAGAAGGCAAATAAAAGAAAAATATATTTAAAAAAACAATAAACAAAAACATAAATTTTTTACAGCTTTATGTAGGAACACATATTATTCATTAGGGTTTAGGGCAGCACAAAACAATTTGTCATTTTTTAAAAATTTGATTGCTTTTAGCTATGTATACAGCTACAGATATTTGCACTGCTTTGTTTGAAAATCCAGTGGCTTTCAAACGTACTGCAAGGGTTAACTGCTCCTTTTTGTCTAAGTTAAAAAAAGGTGTACTCACCAAATCCTTCTAGCTGGCTTGCCCTTAGACCAGTACATAGAGCTTATCTCCCCCTCCACTGCAGTGGTCTAAGGTGCTGTAAATCATCACGTTCTCTACACAGTGTATAGACTGCAATGCTCCAGCTTAGGAGGATAGAGGCTTTAGTGACCAGAGAAGCAGGTGGCTTGCTCGGTGGTTAGGGTGAGTATAACTTTTTTTTAGCCCCATTGCAAGAGTTAAGAACATTTTTCCCAGAGTTCCTCTTTAACTATAATGCCCCAAGCTGACCTTTACCCCCTTTGACTAAAATCACATCAGCATACAGCTCTGCAAGCTGATATGAAACATCTTACATTCATTAGCTAAGCAAACATATTTTTATTTTACTTACAATTTCTTTTTCTACTTCCTGGTCCATATTGGCACAAATGATGTAATCGTGCACAAGCACTGCATCCTGGAAAAAATACATCAGCAGTGCCTTTTTGGGAAGTCTCATCAGTAATGTCATACGATCTCAGAGAAAAAAAAATTCTTCCACTGAGATGATGTGCCTGGTCACATGTCCTAGGCACATGTGCCAGAGTTCCAGGAAGTAAAGGGAGATATATTATTTGGCCTTAGTTAAAATGGCCACTGTGAGAAGAATAGGGGTGAAAAGAAAAATAAGGTGTGCAAAGAATAAAAATCCATCAATTATCTAGAAGTGTCTGTTTGCAGATTGTCATTACTAAACATTTCTAAAGGTGCCTTTGTTGTTATTTTTAAGATATGGGTAAAGTTCCTATTCAAGATTTGCTAACTTATAGAGAACATCTAGAAAAATAATTGTGGCTGAGAAGTACATCAATAAATGTACCTTTTGTCTCTGTCCTAGTAAACAGCAGTACACTTCTTGAGATGCGGCTGTGCCTAGACATTCCAGTTATGTTGTCTGATAGCTATACTGTATATCTGCAGTGTCATATAACCCATGGCACTGCTGCCTATGATAGCTGGTTTCATGAGATTTGGAGTGTTAGTTGGTGATGTCACTACTATGGTGCTCACTGTTCATCTGCTGAAGAGGAAGATGAACCCGAGGACCTGCAGACAGTGAAAGCATCTTGATGCTGCTTCATTAATTCTACTGATTTGTGCTTTCTAAACCAAACCTGTTACTTCTTGAATATTACCCAACCAGTCATCAGATTATTAGTTATCAGGGAGGCATCTTCGATATAAAGAATCAAAGACCTGCTCCTTTACTAAGATAGCTGCCCCCACACAGAGACATAGGTGTTCATTTACAAAAGACAAATAGGATGTTTACTTTGCAAAGGGATTTTCCCTTAGCTTAGTACATGAAATGAAGCTCTGCTGACTTCTGTTAACCAATCACATGCAAGTAAAAATATAGTTTTTTTATAAAAAGTGAAAATTCTCTTGCAAAGTGAACAGCATTTTTACCTTTAGTAAATCAACCCTGTGGTATAGACGGAGTCAGGGTAAGTCAGTAATGGGGAATTACTGGTAATACGTTCTTTGCTCTCTGCTTGCTATTTTTGGGCATACTTTCTACAGTACAGGTCTTCTTTATGATATAATAGGGCTTATAGGATAATTCAATACTGCCAAGGAGGAGCTATTGTTTTAAGAGAAACCTACAGGGTCAGCTACTATCTCAATCATAGTCCACCTATCAAGTACCGTCTAGCAGTGTGAATCACAGCACTCAGACAAAACCAGGTCAAGAAAGTCAAGAGGAGTAAAAATCAACTTCTCTTATACTGCTGACAAGCATTTAAACTATTGATGAAGTTTTAATTGGAGGGTATTGTTTTAATAGTACTTAAAAAAAAGAAGCTTAAATGTATGCACTGGGGTGTGGGGAGAAAATTGGGAAACTATCTTCACTAATTGGGCCTATTATATATAGAAACTCTGTTACATTATGGCTATACCCGTCTGCCATATTAGTTCACCTGTAATATGCAATGTACCTAATGCTGAAGGTACGTGTAACAGTATAACATTTGTTTTTTGATGCAGATTTTAACTTGGGCTTTATTCATTATTTATATTTTATTTTATTTTTTATTTTAAATAATGTTGTTGATAAAACTATTATATTACTTGTTAGGCAGAACAAAGTAAGTAATCAGAACAGTATATTGAATGCCTTGGCATGTATTAGCTGCTTCAGCATGTTTTACTAAAATACACCAGCAGGAACCCACATTATGGTATTATATGGCTCAACAGTTTCCTACTCACCCACATTCGGATTAGTCCATCTGCTTCTGTACACTGGGTAGTGAGGCCAAAGCAGTAGCAGCTGCTGCAACCAAGTGGATTCCCTACATGAAGTCCAAAAGTGCTGGGTTTGCATCTGTCACAGTGGACCCCTTCCACATTTATCTGCAAAAGAGACACTTCACAGGCTAAGTAGAACAAAATGATGTCTCTTGCTTAGCAAACAACCTGATTGCAATGTTTCTGAAAATCAAATATGTAAGAGAATATTGCAGGGCTGAAGTATGGCTTTACATAATTTGTTTCCATATTACAGATGTCAGTACATTAATGAACATTATAAAGATCCCTAAAGACAGGGAATAATTAGGATCTCATCCAAATAAATGTTTATTCAGTTTAGAAGCAAAAGCACATAACTAACAAAACAATGATATAGCATTTACCATGTAATCTTAACTGTAATGCAAATTGTATGTTGTTGTGCCTGTTTTACAAATATGGCTATAACTGTAAACAGAAGACCATGCTATATCCCTGTAGCTGGTAAGGCAGGACACTATAAAAGGAGAGGCAGCAGAAAAAAGAAAATGCTTTAAATCTATCCAATTTATTTGACATGGTAGTGATAGGGACCAATGACCATGTGCAATATGCAAGAACTTATGGAAGTCACAGTTCATCTTTTATACTTACAATTGATAACTGATTGCTATCGGTTACCTACACTGTGTATAATTGTTGCACTGTTTGTTTGTCATAACTAAATAGGCATGCATTCTGTAGGGTTATCCTCCAATCTCCACCATAATGAAAATTTAAAGGAGAACTATTGGGAGAGTAAAATGTACTCTCCCCAATAGTTTGAGCCAGCGTATGACACTGCAGCTGTCATACTCTGGCTCTATAGCTCGAGAACTGAGCAATAGTGATGAGCCGAACACCACTGTGTTCGCTTCGAATACAAACTTTTGAACATGGGAAAAGTTCTCATTTGAACTCAAACTCAATGCAAGTCTATTGGGGTAGAACTTTGAAAATCAAATGTCCCCACTTTGAAGCCTTATATGCAATTTATTGGCCTTAAAAAGGGTATGGGGATTCGGGTACTGCCCTGAGGGCCATGAATCAATGAAAAAAAAAAAACGTTTCAAAACTACCGTTTTTAAAGGAGCAGTGATTTTAACATCACTTAAAGGGTAACGATACAAATTAAAAAATCCTTTAAATATCATGCCTGGGGGTCCCCTTACCCTGCCTGTAAAGTGGCGCATCTGTACAGTGTATAGAACCTGCTGCAGGAAAACTGACATGTCTATTAAAAAAAGGAAGGAACTCCACCCCCAAAAATGGGACCCTTGATCCGAGAACAGGCCTTGTAGTGTCAGAAGGGGGGGGGGGGGTGCGAGCTAACGGCCCCCTCCTACTTCCCATACCAGGCCACATGCCCTCGGCACTGGGAGGGTGCTTTTCCTGGGTCGCCCCTGGACAAGCACTTTGTCCCCGTGCTGATGGGGACAAAGACCTCTTCTCCACAAGCCCTGGGGCATTGGCAGGGGGCTTATTCACATCAGGGAACCCCTTTAATAAAGGGGCACCCAGATGCGCCCCCCTTGTGAACCTTGAATATTTATACCGCTACCCATTCACTAAAGGGTTAAAAAATTGAAATAAAAAAATAGACTTTTGGGAAAAGTCCATTAATTGGAAAAAAACACACAACAAAGGATTTTGACAAGTCCTTTACTGTAAAACAATAAATGAATGGATCCACCGATGTAATCCAGGGTCAATTATGACATCCAACATTGCCCAAGACTACGACAACTCGACAAAATAAAAATAAAACAATAAATAGAAATAATAATCTTTTAAAAACGTCGACCGCCGTCATGTCCGCCCACGACATACTCCCGCCGCAGAATGGCATTTTTACAGATGCCGGCAAAACATAAACAATTGGGCGGAGCTAGCGGTGACAGATAGCTCTGCCCAACTGTGTACAATTTTACGTCATCAGACAGGGGAGCCATGATAGGGCAAAGTCATCATGATTTCAAGCCTTTAGCCAATTAGGGCTTCACAAGGCGCATTGTCTTGTGGGGCATTCAGCGGTCGAACAGACCACCGAACGCCCTTATAGTTTGTGTGTTAGGTGAACTCACGTTTGACTCGAACATCTAGTCCATCTCTATTGAGCAATCACAAACCACTAATCGCTAAACTAACAGCTTCACCCTGCAGAGAGCAGTGACTGTCAGTCACTGCTTCACATAGGGATTCCCCCCTCCGCTCTCAATTCTTCCAGCGCTCACTGGAGGGACATACATGGAGGGGTGGGCACAGCTGGCTCTAGATAGGTAGAGCCAGCTTTCAAGTAAGCAGTGAGGTCTGATCGGGATCCTTCCCAGCTGTAGCACAGCTTCGCGTTGTCAGCATACAGTAGGCATTAGCTGACTATTTGCTTAGTTTGGGTCACAGGAATACATTGGTAAATGTACTCCTGTGACCCAAAAGAGAACTAAAGCCAAAAAAAGGTTTTTAATGTTACAAAGAGTCTGCATCTGGAAATGCACTGGCCCCTTTTATCGAAATACCTCTTCTTCTCTATGCATAAACCGATTTAGCTCCATGTACACTGCCCATTATGGAAAGACAGTTGCAAGTCACAGCTCAACACAGAAGAATTTAAGATTTCCATAAAGTACACACATAGATTAAAGGTAATGTCAGGGAGCAAAAACAACACACACAAAACATATGAGTACATCTCTGAAATACATGCACATTTTCTCATCTTTCATCCATTTAAAGGCCCAGTAAGTATGGGAGAATACCTGTTGATCTGTCAGTTATGCACTCAGCTGCTAAGACTTGTTGTGGACTGACAACACACAGCATTTTTGTGGGCTGAGGGTGATCAGCCCTGTCCAGTTTTCTCTTGCCAAACTACTGAGATACACCTACTTTCCCATCTCCACAATATAAAGTATAATTATTCTATGGTCCAAGGACTGGGAGGGCTAATTACTCTCTTTCAGGGCCTATTTATTTATTTATTTGAGGCTAGTTAACATATATTATGTCACTCATTAATCTGTATTGCATTCAGGCAGCTCATTGAAATGAATGGGCTGCCAATGCACTCAAATATGTAGCCTGTTTTTTTTTTAAATACATATGCATTGCTATGTATTTGAAAAAAAGACCAGGCAGCATATTTAGGTGCATGCTTGTTGTCCGCTGCAACACAGGTGTGTTGCCTTAGTGCTTTAGGGTGCAGTTTAAAAAAAAGCACCACAAGGCAGTAATATAAGTTGCATGTGCACAAAGTATTGGGTGTGCGATTACGGGCTTGTTTCCTTGACATGGAAGTAAAATGGGCCCTCCGACACCACTGGACACAGGACAGGTCTAAATATCTAACATGATTAACAAGTATTTTTTTTTTCCACTTATCGAACGGATATAACAAAGCTCTGGTATATTTAAGACCAAAAGGGGAAAAAAAACTAGTGAAGTTTATTGCTAGGGTTTACATACACTTTAAAACTGATGTTTCTTCATATTCAAAACCTTTAACCTTTCAGTATAAAAGTAAAAAATTCCCTTTAACATGGGGGCGTGGCCAGCATGTGATCCCGAGCAGATGTGTGCCCGGGCAGCTCCGCTCCACATATTATCCTGCTATTATCCTGGTGTTGATTTTTCTAGACCTACCTGGGTTCAGGTGAGCCGGAACACCTCCTGACTTGGATTGCTTCCTAAGAACTAGGCTGTATGAGACGCAATAAGAGCAGATCGACTTGTTCCTCGGAGGCAGGCCTCGTGGTGTCTCTGAGGTGGCCATCTTGGCTGTGCTGGCTGAATGCAGCAAGATGTCGGTGAGCACGCAGACGAGCGGCGCGGATGATCCGTCTCCCTCTCCAACCAGCTCTGACATCCTGGTGGCCATCACATCCTGTAAAGATGCACTCACAAACAAAATCGACTCCCTCTCAGCTGATGTGAGTTTCCTGCGCCATGAACTGGATAAATTCCGAACGCGCATGGGGGAGGCGCAGGCCCGGATTTCACAGGTGGAGGAGACCACGCGGGCGGACTCGACCGAGGTACAACGGCAGCTCCGGGGCCTACAGGAAAAGGAGATGGATACAGAAAACCGGCTACGCCGCAACAACATCCGCATGGTGGGCCTCCCAGAATGTGCAGAGGGGAAAACACCGGCCGAATGCGCTGAGACCTTTCTGGCTAAGCTGCTTGACCTCCGGGGGCTCCGGCCCGACCATTCCTGATTCGCCTGTTAAACTACAGGGATAGAGACCGGGTTCTGGCTGCAGCTAGAGGTCATCCTACACTACTCTACGAAAGTGCCCGTATCCTGATTATTCGGCTGAAATACAGCAACGGCGCAGATCCTATACAGAAGTTTGTAAGAGGCTCCGAGAGAAAGGTTTGCAATATGGCCTCCTATATCCCAGTCGCCTGTGGCTGAGTGATGGCGCCACCACCCACTTCTTTGATACCCCCGCGGCGGCTGCGGCCTGGCTGGACAGGACTTGACGGTCGCCTGACCTGGAGGTGGCTTCTTCCTGGTAAGCCTACATCCATCGTTTCAAGATGCTTTTGGCTCACTTGGTTTAATTCTAGTCGGGATACTACACTGCCCTAGCAGACTGTTTTGTTTTTTTGACTTTTTGACTCCGTTAAATTTTTTGGGGGATCCTAAGCCTCCTGACACACTTTGCTCTGAGAGCTGTTGGGGTTATGTGTTGGACTGGCAGGTTGGTTACGGGGAGGGTTGGGCGGGGATGGGGTTGTTTTTCCTACTGGTTGGATGTTTTTTTTCGCTACAGGTGGATGGCTCACATGCTAAGACTGCAAATACTTTTATATGACATTGCTAGTGGGAATGGAGAAGCTATACGGGGCTTGAGAGTGTGGCCTCGGTTACATGTTTGTTTTTTTCCTCATGAGTGTGTGGAGTGTGGAAGAGATTAAAATCCTCTCCTGGAATATCAGGGGTCTCAACTCCAAATTCAAACGAACACTGATGTATAAGTATGTTAGACAACACAATCCACACATTCTACTTTTGCAAGAGACCCACTTAGTGGGGAACAGGTTGCTGGCCTTGAGACACCCTTGGGTACAGAGGTCGCTTC